GTGGTCCCTGCAGACAAGGGAACTGCTCACAATGTGGGTGATTTCACCTGGGGCTGAGTGTTGCTGGAAGTGCCACCTCCTGCTCTGTCTGATGATGCAGGTGACCTGGGAAACAGGCCCAAACTCTATGTTGTTTAACTGCTCACCCCACCCCCACTTCCCAGAACCAACTGTCTCCTTAACTGCTGAGAGGGGCATTCCATTGGTAACAGCATCTTCTCAGTCCTACTCTTCCTTTATGTGTGTATGTATGCATGCATGAGCATACACACACAGAAGCACTCATCAGACCTCCACTTCATAAACCACCTGGGTCCTGCCCAATTACAGGAGCTAACGTCTTTGAAAACAGAGAATCTTGTAAGACCAAGTCCTCCACATAGAAATGGACTTCAAGAGTGAAGATTTGAGGGTTAGACTTGCTGGGTAAAATGGACTTCAAGTCAAAGACTAGTACAAAAAAAGGAAAACAAACAATTATGAGGTACTCTATTGAAGTACCAGTAGGTACTCCACTGGTGCTATAAAGGACTTGGATAAGGAGTTGTGGGGGCAACAAAAGTGTGTTATTTGCCTTTCTCATTCTGTTCCTGCTCCAGGTAGATGTATCTGGTCTTGCTAGGTTTCTTTACTCTGTTTCCTAACACTCGGGCAGGAAATCCTCTAGGTAGTCAGAGCCGGTTACTTCCAGTTTCAGGTAGCCTTCCTGGAGTGTGCTACCAAGGGCTCAGGAAAGGAGTCTCTCAGCCAGATTGGGTCCCTGCTTTAGCCACTCTGCTCCTGGCTTCTCTTTGGCTGGTAGAATACAGGCTTTTCTTTCTTTTGCCCAAGAAGGGCCTCTAAAGGATTGGGCAGAAGGCATCAGGCTTTCAGTCCTAGGTTGTTCAAAGCAGCTTCTTGCTTCATATTCTAGTTCCTGACCAGTTAGCAAGGCAGCGTGTCACATCAACCCAGATTCCTGGGACAGCATTTTCCATGTTTCCGTGACTTCCCGGCCATGATAAAATACTGTCCCATAGCAGCCCAGGCTGGGATGTGGTTGAGAGACCCACATGCGTGTCCACTTCACGGCACAGTCAAGCTGCAGCAGTAGCTCCTTCTCACACTACTACCTATCTTTGTCAACATACACAAACCTGGGTTTCAAAAGGGTCTGAATGGAGGTATCTTGTAGCTCAATGGTAAGGTCTGAATAGCTAAAGGCTGGAACTTTTTTGAACACCTGGCCAAAGGTGACATCTTGCTTGTCTTCAGCAGAGAACAGGGTCTGTGGATCCATACCAGGGCCAGGGCTGGTGGGGGTGGGGGAAGAAGTGGGCAGGCCATTGGTATTACTTATAGCTGGGGAGGTTCTGAGGTAGGATAGGCAAGCCTAAATGGCACTGTGGCAGAAAGATATGGTTGTACATGCTACCAGCACCTCCTGTACAGATACTCAGCCTAGCCTGCCTGTCTGCATTGCCCCACCTGGGGACACAAGACAAATCAGCATGAATATACAAGAATTGACCGGTCACTGAGGCAACCAGACAGATTGTTGGTCTCTTGAAGAGAAATGGTAGAGAAGTTTCTGCAAGGACACCATATTTGTGTAGTTACTCCATTATGGAAAGCATATGAGGCAATCATTACCTGGTGAGGCTATATAGGGAATATGTAACTAGAGGGGCAGGCTCAGGCCTTGGCGTTTTTTGAAGAGGAGCATGATGATAGTAAAGGGGTCCCACCTGGGCTGGTACAGCTTCAGTAACCACACCACAGTAAGGGAAACCAAATTCTGAGGTTCCAGATTAGGCCAGAAGCTGTTAAGGTACACAGCTTTACCACAATCACTGAATCATTGGAGAGTCAGAAATCTGAAAGGATCAGGCAATCAAGGAAGGCTCCCTGGAGGTATATCTGAAAGATAACACATAGAAGACACTCTAGCTGAGAAGAATCAAAGCAAGGATAAGGAATGGGGATTTGTTGTGATGTTCAAGCTACTGCTCTATTTTTGATCCAGCTTCCTGCTAACATGCAGCATCAGAGGTCCTTGCTACCCATGGGTGAAAAGCAGACTGAGTCCTGGCTGCTGCAGAGGAGAGTAAGCTAGCATATGGAACACGTGTTTCTCTCTGCCTTCCAATAAACAGGAATGTAAGAAAAATGATAATAAAAGTAAAGACAGAGAGGGCCAGTGTTGTGGCATAATAGATAAAGTGTCCACCTGCAATGCCAGCAACCTATATGGGTGCCATGCCAAGTCCCAACTGCCCCACTTCTCATCCAGTTCCCTCCTAATGGCTAATGGAAAAGCAATGAGGTTGGCCCAAGTACCCTGAGCCCCTGTCAATCACATGGGAAATCTGAATGAAGTTCCTGGCTTTGGCCTGCTCCAGCCCAACCCCAGCTATTGCAGTCATCTTGGGAGTGAACCAGCAGATAGCTTTTCTTGACCTTGTTCTGTTCCAAATGTCGGTTCATGGAACCATCATGTGTTTACAACTGAATACTCAAAAAGCCAACAAAACAATTACATGATGCAAAGGGGCCTACCCATGGTCACACGATTAGTAGAGAGGTGGTCTGCTCATTAGCAGGATATCACATTGTTCATGCTGGGGCTCCAGATGTATAGCCAATGGAAATGCAAGGAACAGATCACCAGATTTAAACTTTAAAACAAAATGAGTTTCTTGAATGAGTTTACCAAGTGGGTATGATGAACCAATTTAGATATGAAATTCAAAGTATGAGGACAAAATACCCCTAAGCCCATTCAGACGGAGCCCTTATACAGATGAAATGTGGGCACAGTGACAGCACAGGTGAACAGCAGGTGTTAATAAAGGACAAGTGGGTCCCGCTCAGAGAGACACACAATCCTGCTTTTAGCCATGTCAGGCCATACCAGAAAAACCACATTTTAGGTAGCCTTTGGATGGGGCCAAGAACCTTTTAGCAATGAGATAACTTTTAGGAGGAGGCTCCTTGTCAGTGACTTTGAAAAAAAAAATGGGGCAGTTGTTTAGGGCTGTTGCTGAGGGGATGCAAGGTAGGGACAGTCTCAACTACAATTCTGGAGGTGTAGGGCAATATGAGAATATGGCAGAGAGGTCAGGCTTAATCAGCACTGACTGCTGGTGGAGATGGGAGGTAGAATATGAAGGGGAAGATTCTGGGGGTGGTTTGTCTGGCAGGAGGGAAAAGAACTTCATTCAGAAGCACACTTGACTTGTTGGGGAGTACACAGACACTTCACTGGGACATGGCCAGGACCACAGGGGACAGCAGCTTAGTATACACAAATAGTTTATTAACCTATGGGGCAGAGGCACAGAATAACTTAGGATGTCTACAAAAATAAGATTCTTGGGCCAACCCACAAAAACCTAATCCAAGTAAGCGGGAAAAGGGAATCTTTCCTTTTAACAAGTTTCCTGGGGTACTTTTACCATGTTGACCAAGAAGTAGAGTAACCAAATCATTAAACTGAGATGTTTGAGTGTCAAAATGCACAAGTTATAAACTGTGGGAAGCTACACATTTAAACAGGGAATATCCCAGGAAAGCAGATGTAGTTACCCCTATGTGAATCACATTTGAGGAAAGCTAGTTAAGCTGGTTAAGAACATTTTTGGGGCACACAGACCAGATGCTATCCTTTTTACGTGGGTGATCTTGAGCACATTCTTTTATCCCCTTAAGCTTCAGTCTATTTGTGAAACAAAGCTGTAATTGTGCAGTCAGTACAATCTTCTTTTGGAAAGATGGCTCTGGACCCCAGATTTTTTAACGAAATAAAAAAAATTGAGAGTTTGAATCAAGCAATTAAGTTTGACTCAAAACTCTAGGGAAAGCTTATACAGTGCCACAAAGACTGGAACCCAGGAGACAGAATGCTATAGGCTTATTTTGCTCCTCCCCCCCTTTTTAATAAAGATTTTTTATTGCAAAGGCAGATTTACAGAGAGGAGAGATAGTGAGAAAAAGATCTTCCATCTGATGGTTCACTCCTCCAATGGTTGCAGCGGCTGAAGTTGAGCTGATCCAAAGCCGGCAGCTTCCCTTGGGTCTCCCACATAGGTGCAGGGTCTCAAGGCTTTGGGGCATGTTCTATGGTTTTCCCAGGCAGCTGGGAGCTGGATGGGGAAGGAGAGCAGCTCGGACATGCCACAGGGGGTAAGATTGGCCAGCTGCGCCACTGTACCTGCCCCTTGCCTTTTTTTTTTTTTTTTTAAGATTTTTATTGAAAGGTATATTTCCAGAGAGAGACAGAGGGAATGTTCTTCAACCTGCTAGTTTACTCCCCAAATGGCTGCACAATGGCCAGAGGTAAGCTGATCCAAAGATGGGAGCAGTTTTGTCCAGATCTTCCATGACTGCAGTCTTAAGGACTTAAGCTATCTTCCTCTGGTTTCCCTGGTCATTAGCAGCAAGTGGAGCAGCCAGGACATGCCATAGGGCAGATTAGCCCACTGTGCCACTACACCAGCTCCTTATTTTGTTTGTTTCGTAAAACACTTTCTTTAGTTCCCCTCTTCTGCCACACAGAAATGGGGTAGAAGGCAAAGCCTGGAAATGTACAAACAATATTTCTGCAGCTTACCTTTTACCTGCCTTCCTGAAGGTAAAATTCCCAAAGACATTCCACTCGAGAGGTCCTGGTCTTGCCTTAGGTATCGCTTGTGGGAAACTCCTGGGGTGGGTGTCTGCTGTGGCAGCTAAGCTGTTGTTTTGGATGCCTGCAACTGATCTTGTAGTGTCTGGTTGCAGCCCTGGCCTCTCTGCTCCTGAGGCAGGTTTCTACCAGTGTGCATCCTAGAAAATGGCTGATGATGGGTCAGGTTGTAGCCACTCATGTGGCAAGTGCTGGATGTAGTTTAGAGTTCCTAACTTTGGCTTGCCCCAACCCTGGCTGTTGTGAGCATTTGGGAAGTGAACCAATGCATAGAAGATTGTTCTGTTGCGCTTTCAAGTGAAATAAACTTTAAAAAAAAATTAAAATATTATTGGAAAACAAACAACAGTGAAAATTCCACTTTATTTTTTACACATGACAAGTGGGAAAAACCACAGAGCTAGCTTCAGTACTTTGTCCTCTGCTAGTTGGCTAGCAGTTCACCTTTCAGTCATAGCAGGCCGGTGTCAGGGCACCCCAGAGCACCCTCACCCCCACCCCTAAGCATGTTCAGTGTTCCCTTATGCATGAAGAGATTCTGGTTCTGGCATAATACTTCTTAAAAAGTTTATTCATTTGGAAGGAGGAATAAGAGATGGATCCTGTATCCTCAGGTTTATCCCCCCAAAACCCACAGCAATAGGGGTGGGTCAGTCTGAAGCCAGGAAATAACTCCACCCGGATCGCCCCCATCCACATGGGTGGCATGGATGCAGGCATGTGCATCATCATCTGTTGCATCTCCAGGATGCTCTTGGACAAGAAACTGAACTGGGAGTGGAGGTGGGACTTACCCCCAGGCACTGATATGCAATGCAGGCATCCCAACTCAAGTAGCAGTTTTACGGGGGGGCACACTGTCAACTGGCACTGGCACAGGCTCGCTCACGGAGGAGGGCAGTCCTGGCAAGCTTCTCCTTCGACGAGCTGCCAGTTCAATCTTCTGAACCAGGTTCACATCCCAGGGGTGGGTCACGAAGCTGATGACGGTGCCTGGCACCTCGCTACCCACCCGGCCTACCCTTCCTGCTCTGTGGATGTAGTCTTGCAGAGTGAGGGGAAAATCATAATTGATAACTAGCTGCACGCGGGTGCTGTCGAGGCCCCTGGAGGCTATGTCCGTGCAAAGGAGGACATCTCGTGAGCCCTTCTGGAAGTCCTGGAAGATGCCTGCCCTCCTCAAAGCTGGCATCTGCCCCTGCAGCCTCAGGTGCTGGATTTTGTGGTCCTCTAGAATATACCCAAGCCAGTTCACAGTGCTGGAACTATTACAGAACACCAGCAGCGCCCCTGGGGTTCCAGTCCTGTCCACCCTATCACGCCGTTTGAGAATCTCCAATAGCTCGGTCACCTTGTCTGTTCCTTTGAGCCTCAGGAATGTCTGTCTGACGTGAGGCATGATGCAGTGAAGCCTGGAACTGGTGATGGTGGTGAGGGAGTGTGGCCTGGCAACTTTGTTCAGCAGCTGGCCTACGCCTTCAGGGAACGTGGCTCCCACTAGCACCAACTGGGCTTTGGGATTGAAGGGGTCTGCTAAATCAGAGGGGTCTCCTGCTATGTGGCTCTTCTCCAAGATATACTCTACCAGTTCCAGAAAGCTGTCGTCTAGCAACGTGTCAGCCTCATCCAACACCAAGAAGGTCAAGCGTTCCAGGCTCAGGAGCTGTTTTCTCAGGGCCTTCCCCAGAGCCCCTGGTGTGGCCACCAGCACATCTGCTGATGGCTGACTGGATAGCTGCAGTGTGACTCTTCGCATCCCCTGGCCTCCTTCTAGCTCCTGCACCTGCAGACCCAGGGAGCGGCCTAAGGGCTGGGCCACGGACCGCACCTGTTGGGCTAATTCTCGGGACGGCACAAGAACCAGGCCCCTAGGAGAAGGGATACGGGGGCCACCGTCCAGTCTTGGCTGGCCCATCAGACGCTGGAACAGCGGTAGCAGGTAACTCAAAGTCTTGCCACTGCCTGTTTCCGCGGCGCAGAGGACATGGCGGCCGCCAAGAAGGGTGGGGATGGTGCTGGACTGCACGGTCGTGGGCCGCACGACTTGAGGCGCGGTCTCCAGTAATGCCCGCAACACGCGGGGCTCCAGGCCCAGGTCCGAGAAGCTGCTGTCGGAAGACGGGGTCTGCAGCGCCGGTGCCTGCTGCTGAGCGCGCTCGATGGAGAAGTGGTCCCGCCGCGCCCGTCGGTGCCGCCAGCCGCGCGAGGCCAGAGGCGCACACTCCCAACGGCCCAGCGTGAGGCGAGCCGGCTGGTTCAGCTCCGGCCGCCGCGCCGACACCAGCAGCGGCCCGGGGCGCGTCAGCACCGGCCGCTGCGGGCTCCGGCGGTGCCTTCCCTCTCGTCGTTCGTGCCGCCGCTGGAAAGACCGGGGAATACGCACCACCGGCAACAGAGCCTCGTCGGGAGCGTGGACAGCCAGGCTGCGACGAGGACCTAGCAGCAACCGAGCCGCTAGCGAGGCCAACAGCCGCGTCGGCCGAGCTAAAGCCATGTTGCTGCTAGCCAGAGGGAGAGGCGCACGTCAGTGACGTCATGGACGCGCCGCTGTCTCGTCTACGGCGCCTGGCGCGGTTCGGTAAAAGCGAGCGGGGCTGGAAAAGCGTGTGGAGGAAGAAAAAGGTAGCTGTGGATAGTTGAGCGAAGTGTGCAAGACTGAACAGTGGATGTCCTAGCTTTGGGAAAGGGCGTACAGGTGGAGGCAAGATCAGGGTCCTGTGGCTGTGGGGCCCTGGTTTCAGGGTCCGAGATGACTGAAGGTTTTCTGATGATTACGGCGTGCTCAGTCTCTGAGATTGGCTTTGGCCGGCTTCATGACCCCCTTCTGGGATGACTTATCCCCTTGCCCCCTCCTCATGTAAGCTCGAAGGGTGCGGTGCTGTTTCTCCAGTCGTGGCCCCTGCGCGAGGTCTGCTGGTGGGTGAGAGTGGGAATGAATGGCGGGGCCCTGCTCCAGCTGAGGACCCAGGGTGCAGGCCGGTCCCTTTGAGCTGATTTCCCTGGGTTGGAGGTAACCCCCCCCCACCGAGTTGTTGCTTCTTCACCCTGTTTATTTTTTTTCCTTTTCAGCCTTTGTTCACCCCTCACTTCCCTGTCCTTCTTGACTTCCCTTGAACCCACTACTGCTGCCATCGGCTGGCCTCCACTGGCTTCTCAGTTAGACACATAAGATTGCTTGATTGAAGCAGCGAGGAAGGTCCTGCTTCCCCATCCTGGAATCAGGTATGTGGCTTTCCTCATTTTGTCTGCGGTCAGGCAGATTACTTGGATTCCAAAGTTGAGATTGAAAGCAAAATCAAAAATCAGACCAAGGGCCTGGCACGACAGTGTAGTGGTTAAAGTCCTTGCCTTGTGTGCGCCGGGATCCCACATGGGCCCTGGTTCTAATCCCGGCGGCCCTGCTTCCCATCTAGCTCCCTGGAAAAGCAGTGGAGGATGGCCCAAAGCCTTGGGATGCTGTACCTGTGTGGGAGACCTGGAAAAGGCTCCTGGCTCCTGGCTTTGGATTGGCTCAGCTCCAGCCGTTGCGGCCACTTGGGCAGTGAGTCACTGGATGGAAGATCTTCCTCTCTGTCTCTCCTCCTGTCTATATATCCACCTTTCCAATAAAAATAAATAATGAATCTTTAAAAGGAAAACCAAAACGAAACACCTGGATTATCTATCCTTGTTTGATGACAGATTTGCAAATAAATCTTTTAAAAGGTGTTTAAAATTTATTTGAGGGCCCAGCGCGATGGCGCAAGTGGTTAAAGGTCCTCGCCTTGCATGCCCGGGATCCCATATGGGCGCTGGTTCTATCCCGGCAGCCCCGCTTCCCTTCCAGCTCCCTGCCTGTGGCCCGGGAAAGCAGTCGAGGATGGCCCAAAGCTTTGGGACCCTGCACCCACGTGGGAGACCCGGAAGAGGCTCCTGGCTTCGGATCGGCATAGTATCGGCCCGTTGCGCTCACTTGGGGAGTGAATCATCGGACGGAAGATCTTCCTCTCTGTCTCTCCTCTCTGTATATCCGCCTTTCCAATGAAAAAAATAATAAAAATAAATCTTAAAAAAAAATAAATAAAATTTATTTGAAAGCATTAGAGAGAGAGATCTTCTACCTGGTTCACTCCCCCAAGTGACTGCACTTATCAATGCTGAGCCTGGTTGAAGACAGGAGCCAGTGATAGGGGCCCAAGTTCTTGTGCCTTCTTCTGCTACTGTTTGTAGTCCATCAGCAGGGAGCTTCATGGGAAATGATACAGTCAGGACATGAACCTGCACCCACAGAGGATGTCAGCATGGTAGGTGGTGGTTGTGCCTGCTCTTGCTGTAATGCCTACCCTATGAGTGGGCTTTTTGAAGATGCCAGTTAAATTAACTGTGGGTAGTGATGGTTAGTTATCAGAAAAAGTAGTGATTCTACAATGTGGCTGATTCTGTGCTTACTCCAAGTGGCAGTGGCTGGAAATGTCTTAGTTGCCACAGCTGGGCAGCTGCTGGGTGCTATTGACATCTGGTAGGAAGAGGCCAGGGTTGCTGTTCACTGCCAGGACAGCCCCACAATAAAGAAGGATCCAACCTGGAGTGTCAGTAAGGTGTGTTGAGAAATGGGGATGGAGGTAGAAGACAGATGACCGCTGCAGGTAGACAGCTGCCAGACTGTACCATTGTCATGGTCTTGGCATTGGGAATATTGAAGCCCCTGAAAGTCGTACAGGCAGGGAGGAGTGATTCACAAAGCCGAAGAAGACAGGTCTACAGATAACAAAGAGTCCTCTTTGAGGAATTTCCTGATGCAGAGGAGACATGATGTGGGTTTGTCGATCCAGAAGAAAGGACTCTTAGGACCCATGGGTGAGGCGAGGTGGATTCTGGACTTGACATAAAAAACTTTTGTTACTGGACTTAGTGTGATGGCTTAGTGGCTAAATCCTCATCTTGCATGCCCTGGGATCCCATATTTGCACGGGTTTATGTCCCAGCTGCTCTACTTCCCATTGAGCTCTCTGCTTGTGGCCTGGGGAAGCAATAGAGGATGGCCCAAGGCTTTGTGACTGTGTACCCGTATGGGAGACCCAGAAGAGGCTCCTGGCTCCTGGCTTTGGATCAGCTTAGCTTCATCTGAGCAGCCACTTGGGGTGTCAACAAGAGGGCGGAAAATCTTTCTATTTCTCCTCTCTGTAAATCTGCAAATAAGTTTTTCTTTTTAAAGAGTATTTATTTATTTGGAAGGCAGAATTACAAAGAAAAAAGGAGAGGCTGATGCAGAGAGCTGTCTTCCACCCTGTCTGGGATGCCAGCATTACAGGTGGCAGCTCTGTGTGCCATGCATATCTCTGAGTAACTTTGAAATAACCAGTGAGTTAGAGAAAGTTTGAAAGAGTGATGGGGCAGAAGCAGCACCAGAGTGGGCTGAGGAGGTAAAGTAAAGTGGAGGCAGCATCAGGAATGCTGAGCACATTAAACCCGTCTGGCTTTGTAATTTTTTCTTTTTAAGAATTACTTATTTTTATTTGAAAGGCAGAGTTTTTACAGAAAGAGGAGGAGAGAGAGAAAGGGAGGAGACTGCTGGTTCAGTCCCCAAATGACCACAATGGCCAGTGCTGAGCTGATCTGAATCTGGAAGCCAGGAGCTTCTTTCCTGTCTCCTGTGCAGGTTCAGGATCCATCCTTCAATGATTTTCCAGGTCATAAGCAGGGAGCAGTAAGGATTTGAACTGGTCCTTATTTGGGATACTGGCATTGCAGGTGGAGGATTAATTAGATGTGCTGCTGTGCCAGCCCCAGGCTTTGTAATTTTTCAGAGGAGACCGTATTTGGTTAGAATAAATAGGTATTAATGATAGTTATCTCTGGGAAGGAGATTTTAATTTTTTTTCCTTTTTCTTCCTGTTGAAGCAGGGTGCTGGATCAGAAGTGGAACAGTTGGCATACAAACTGGCACCCACGTGGGGTGCTGGGACTGCAGATGAATGAGTAGCTTGCTTGCTATGCTTCTGCGCAGACCCCTGTACTTGTAACTCTTTACTCTTTCACTCCCTGAACACAGAGTCCTTACAGCCTTATGTGATCTGACCATTGCATTTTTAACATTTTTAATTTTATTTTTACTGCTGATGCTCTGTGTAGCTGACTTGTGGTACTGACTTCTGTCTGCAGGCGAGTCATTGTGGACCTCCTGGTCTAACATACCAGGCTAGTGCCTGCCTCATGGCCTTTGCATGGACTCTTTGCTTTGCTGTGCACTCCTTCAGTAGATGTTAACTTGGCTAATGCAAAACTTCACTGAAATCTTGGGGTACTGATTGCTGTGGTACAGCAGGTAGAGCTAGCAGAACTGATGTTGGCATCCCATGTGGGTGCTGGGTCATGTCCCAGCTGCTCTGCTTCTGATCCAGCTTCCTGCTCCCTACTCTTCCCTGGGAAGAGCAGCAAATGATGACACAAGTGTGTGGGCCCTTGATACTCACGGGGGAGACTCAGATGAAGCTCCTGGCTCTTGTCTTTGGTCCTACCCAGTCCTGGCCATTACAGCCCTCTAGGAGGTAAACCAGTGGGTGGAAGGTCTCTGTCTGTAATGCCGACTTTAAAATAAATTAGTAAATTCTCTCAGAGACCTGCCTGGGTTTGCAATCCTCTCACTTATGTATAAACATTTTAAAGTGAACAAATTTAAATTAAAAAAAGTAAAATATGTAAATCTATACAAAAACGGGCTAACTTTGCTGAAATCTTAGCTTCTTATTGAAGGCTATCTCCATTTTGTTGTTGTTGTTGTTTTGAAAAGCGGAGTGAAAGAAAGAAGAGATTACATAGAGAGATCTTTCATCCTCTGGTCCACTTCCTAGATGGCCACAATGCATTTAGGCCAGCCTAAAACTGGGAGCCAGGGGCTGCTTCCAAGTCTCCCGTGTGGGTGCAGGACCCAAGGACTTGAGCCATTCTCTGATGCTTTTCCAGGCCATATAAAGGAAGCTGGATGGCAAATGGAGCAGCTGGGACTCAAACCGGCACCCATATGAAATGCTGGCACTGCAGACAGAGGATTAGTTTGCTATTCCACTGTGCTGTCCCTACCATTCCTCAGCTTCTTAGAATGAAATTAAAATAAAAAATTTTTATCTTATTTGAAAATCACAGTGACATACGTGGAGTTGAAGGAGGAAGTTAAAGGGAGAGAGAGAGAGATCTTTCATCTACTGGTTCATTCCTCAAATGGCTGCAAAGATCACCCTGGGTAAAGCCAAAGGCAGGAATTTGGAACTCCATTGATTTCTGTGTGTGGATGCCAGAGGCCAAAAACCATCAGCAGTAGCTTCCAGGGCCTGTAGTAGGAGGAAGCTACAGCCAGATATCAAACTGAAGCAATCTGATGAGGGATTTTTTTTTTGAAATATTTACTTTATGTGAGATGCAGAGTCACAGAGAAAGCAGAAGAGCACAGATGAGCTTCAGTTTGTTGGTTCAATCCCCCAAAGGGCTCCAACGGCCTGGCCTAGCCCAAGCTGAAGATAGGAGCCAGAAACCGGGTTGGAAGTGGAACACAGTTTAACTGGCATCCAAATGGGATGCTGGTGTTGTAGGGAGTGACTTAACCCACTACACCACAATGCTGACCTCAAAATTGTGGGCATATTAAACACCAGGCTAAACACCTGCCTCATAAATATTTGCTGGATGAGTGATTAAGCATGCATTCTTTTCATGATCAAAGAAAAGGGAAAAAAAACTACTTAAATGTTGGGAGAAAAATGGAAGTTTTTGCTGGTTGAATTTCTGACTGCCTTTTTCCCTTCCTGCAGGCTGTGACTGAGGAGGAATGATCGGGAATAGCTTCTCTCTGTGCTACCACAACAAGTTAATATTAGCTCCTATGGTTCGGGTCGGGACCCTTCCAATGAGGCTGCTGGCGCTAGACTATGGGGCTGACATTGTTTACTGTGAGGTAAGTGGCTCGTGGTTTTCCCGGAGGGATTTTCCCCAAGGGCAGTCTCCCTAGAAAAGTGTTGCAGTGCTCTGGAGCTGGGACTGGCAGAGCTACCCATCATTCCCCAGGTGTTTGCTGCAAGTAGGAGACAGACCTATGAGACACTGTGTGTCCTGTGAGTCTTGCTGAAGGCCAGGAGCTAGGGTGGGTCAGAGGTATCCTGAGATGCACTGAGCACATGGGAAGATGAGTGGCTTGTGTGACCCTGGTTCTAGCCTTTAGGAATGTGATCTTGGTGTCTGAATGAGGAAGAGGAGCCGAGGTAGACCGAGGCAGTGAATTTTCTTGTGGCTGTAGCTAGGGTACTAATAGGTGTGTTTGCTGCTGCTCTGAAGGACATTTGCACTTCAATTGTAGACTCTGAAGGCATTTCTAGGAAAAGCAGAATTCCAGGAGTGGTGGACAGTGACCATTACGGGAGCACTAGTGCTCTTCATTCAGCCCTTATCAAGCTTGTCTGGGCAGCTTCCTCTCAGGACCTGACCCGAATGTGTCCCCCAGTGGGTATGGAAGTTGAAGAAGTAGCATCTCAAGTGTTTCTCCATCTTTAGGATCCACTGGGGAAAGAGAGGAGTTGCAGAGGTAACGTGGCTGTCAGAGAGCCACACAGGGAATTCTGGAGGTGATGGGACTCTAGGAGTCTTAGTTGAGTCAGCACCAATATCCCAAACTTGCTGTTGTGCACAAGTGTTATAGGTTTTGGGGGAGGCTGCGGAAAGGGTACATAGAATTACATATGAAGTTGCAGCAAATTTAACATGTCTAAAAAGGAAAATCAGTGGGTAGAGGACGGAGCAGCTGAAGCAGAGACTTGGAAAGATACTACTGTGTGCTGGGGATGAATATTAGCAGGTAGCAGTCCATGGCAGAAGCAAAGAGGGGACAGAAACAGGCAGTTTTTTTTAAAGATTTATTTTTTATTATTTTTTTTTTATTAGAAAGACGGATATGCAGAGAGGAGAGACAGAGAGGAAGATCTTCCGTCCGATGATTCACTCCCCAAGTGAGCGCAGCGGCCAGTGCTATGCCGATCCGAAGCCAGGAGCCTCTTCCAGGTCTCCCACGCGGGTGCAGGGTCCCAAAGCTTTGGGCCGTCCTCAACTGCTTTCCCGGGCCACAGGCAGGGAGCTGGAAGGGAAGCGGGGCTTCCGGGATAGAACCGACGCCCATATGGGATCCCTGGCGTGCAAGGCGAGGACCTTAACCACTTGCGCCACCACGCCGGGCCCCAGAAACAGGCAGTTTTGAGGATAGGATTGAGGAAGGCCTAATTCAAGTCTGGTATCTGGCAGATGATACCTGGAAATCCAACCAAAAGGCCAGCAAAGTGTTTGATGTGAAAAAGTTGATTGGGGGAACTGGCATTGTTGTGTTGCAGGTTCAACTATCATCTGTAACGCTGGCATCCAGTATGAGCACTGGTTTGAGTCCTGGCTGCTTTACTTATGTTCCAGCTTCCTGCTCATGCTCCTGGGAAAACAGCAGAGATTCCCTCAAATACTTGGGACCTGCCACCCCATGGGAGACCCAGATGCAGTTCGAGATTCCTGGTTTTGGCCTGGCCCACCCCTGGCAGTTGTGGCCATTTGGGGAGCGAACCAGAGGATGGAAGATCTCTGTCCTTTTGTGTCTCTTTCTTTCTGGGTCACTGCCTTTCAAAAAGGAAATCTTAAGGACAAAATTGGTTGGGGGCTACTGTGGCACATAGGCATATGTGCTTATGGAGTTAATAACCCAAGGAGTGAACAGCCAGTGGGGGAAGTAAACATATGTCATAGGTTGCGTGCACATGGTGAATGTGTGATGGGGGTGTGCTGTGAGTGTGTATGGTGAACTGGGCACGTGATGTGGATGTGCCGTGTGTGGCATGTGTGCATGTGATGATGTGAGCATGTGTGGAGTGTGTGTACATATTGACGGTGTGCTATGCATGTACAGGGTATGCATGCATGCATGTACGCAGTGTGTGGGGCATGTGTGTGTGTGTGGCAGCGTGGATGTACTGTGCGTGGTGTGTGTGCATGATGAATGGGATGTGGTGTAAGGGCCATGTGTGCATGTGGTGACATGGATGTGCTGTGTATGGTATGCGTGTGTGTGATGACCTTAGTGTGTGTGGAATGCGTGTGTGTAGCGACAGCGTGTTGTGCATGTGCATGGTGTATGGGACGTGTGTGCATGTGGTGAGGTGGATGTGCTGTGTGTGGTGTGAGTGGTGACGGGGACGTGATGTATGGGACGTGTGTGCATGTGGCGATGTGGATATGCCGTGTAATGTGCGTGTAGCAATGTAAGTTTTCATGGAGTATGTAAGTAAGCGTGTCGACATGGACATGCTGTGCATGTGTGCGGTGTGCAGGGTGTGCATGTGTATGGTGATATGGATGTGCTGTTTGTGTGTGTTGCGACAGGGGCATTCACACTTAACGCCCTGCAAACCTGAACAGTGCCTGGTGTATTTGTGGAGGGTGGAGGAACTTGTTTCAGCTCGGCCATGATCAGACCCCAGATCAGTCCCATGGATCTTTGCTTTTCCCAGAACCCAGAGTGGGTTCGTGTTCACTGTGGGAAGTATGGATTGCCGCCCCAGGACAGTAGCGATGGGTGCCCTCTTTGTTGTCTAGGAGTTCTCGGGTGTTTATAGTGCATCATCGTCCTGTTCTAATGGGGATATGGACTTCGGGAAGTGGGTTGGAACTGGAACCAGCCCACCCAGTTGTTGATACTCTCACTGGTAATTTCTGAAATCCAAGGGTGTTAGACAATCAGTTTGTATGACAACTCCAGGATGTGATTGGGTCAATCTTGGTTTCCTGTTACATGGTGCCGAATCTTATGAGTGTGGAGTAGAGAAAATCCCAATTAAAATGCTGTTTGTTGTTAGACACGCTCTGCCCTAGGGGCTTATATGCTAAGGGGTCTCTTCCCACACTGAGCCAGGCCTTCCACGGGGAGCAAACAGGCCTCCAGGGTTCTGCATGCAATAAGGGGCCACTGGAGACTGGGCGGAGAAGTGGGGTTGACGCCGCGTTGCTGGTGCCCCCTAGTGGGCTGTGTTGGGGTCCACATGCATGAGTTCAGCTGAGGTTACCCTCTCCTGGAATGTGGTTGTTTGCTGTTATGTCATAGCTGGGGACAAACTTCCAACTAACAGCCTGCTTTCTTGATAGTATCCTTTGGTGTGTAAAAGCTTTTAATTTTGGTGAGGTCCAGTTTTGTGTGTGTGTGTGTGTGTGTGTGTGTGTGTGTGTGTGTGTGCGTGCTTTTGGTGACAACTCAGAAGATTGACACCTGTAAATTTTGTAAAAATAAAAAAAAATTATTTCTCATAGAGAATTTCCCACCCACCCTCCCCAAAGACAAAGCTGTTTCTTTTTGTGTGTTGCCTGTGTTCTATGTCCCACGGAAATTCCAGCCTCCCTGTGCTGTGTCCATTGGCTCCAAGCTTGTCAGGGCTGTTTCTTGGGGGCCTGCCCCCTCCCTTTCTTAGGGCACCGGTGTTAGGTCCTCTGATTCTGTGTGCTGGGGACTGACAGGTGATGTGCAATTCCTCCACAGGAGCTGATTGACCTCAAGATGTTGCAGTGCAAGAGAGTTGTCAACGGTGAGTACAGCTCTGATCATAGGCCTGCCTGCCCAGGCCTGTCAGGCAGCACCCCCACCACCTGCCCAGGCCCGTCAGGGAGCACCCCTATCCACCTGCCCCCAGGCGACAGTGTCTTTGCCTTGTGACATCGTGTCATTTTGTAGATGATGGTGTGCCCATCACAGTTCTCTGGAGACCACAACAAAAGGGCAATTGTGAGAGACAGGCCAAGTGTGCCTTCTACCCACAGGCTTGTTGTCCCGGAGTTCGATGAAGATCCTTAGATATAAGGTCCATCAGCAAGCTCTTTGCGAAATGGTGAGGGTGAATTGTGGTTTCACTTCTGCTCTTTGTGAAATCTTACAACTTCACTGGAAGTTGTGACTCATGTTTGCCTAATTGTCTTACATTTTTTTTTTGTATGATAGAAAATTCAGCTTTATACTTCAATAGGAAACCCTTGGTAATTCCCCAGTTAAAGAGGTCATTGCTGTGAGGAATAATGTATTTATGTTTCTCACATGTAGTGTTGTGGAGAATAGGACATAGCTCCCTCGTGTGATCTGGCTACATGGATTTTTCTTTTTTTGTCCTGTTTCTCTATTAAGCTGCGTTCACAGGTCAGTATCTGTAGGACAACTCTGTCAGAATTGACACCAATAATCTCTTGTTGGGTGTTTTCGATTTTTAAAAAAATTAAAAAAAAATTCTTTATTTTGATAATCTTTACATAGTTGATTAGGGCACAGAGGGTCTAGGGCTACAGGAAAGTGAGTAATACCATTGTTTCCACACTAATATTATTCTTTCTTTCTGTATCTGGGGTAAGAGGAGAGATAAAGGGAAAAGCCCCACCCAACTTCACACCCATCCCAGGACCCCATCCAAGGGTCCTGCTCATGCATTTTTGATATTTCATCAGTTCTGAATTGCTACCAATCTCACCATTCCAAGCATGATGAAATCTCTTCAGAAGCCACTGGCTGACATATTCTCTTCATGGTTGGGGTTCTGAGATCAGCAGTTCAGTTGGAGGGATCCCCAAAGAAACTTCATCTAAGGTGATCCCAGACCTGATTCTTGTGTGTGAATGCCAGTACAGGGTCCAACACAGTCCGTCACCCCAATCAACTTATGCATATACTGGTGGTTGCATTTACTGGTTCATTTCTGTTTCCAGACCTGTCTTCCACATGAACTAATGGGTGTTACAGTCAAACCTGATTCTGCCCAGCACACACTTGGCCCTCTCGCAAACCAGTGGGAGCTGATGACGATGGCACTTAATGCCAAGCTTCCTTGGGAGAAGATAAGATACAGCCAATCGAGCCTGGCGCTGTGGCCTAGTGGCTAAAGTCCTCGCCTTGAACGTGCTGGGATCCCATATGGGCGCCGGTTCTAATTCTGGCAGCTACGCTTCCCATCCAGTGCCCTGCTTGTGGCCTGGGAAAGCAGTCGAGGACATCCCAAAGCCTTGGGACTCTGCACCCATGTGGGAGACCTGGAAGAAGAAATTCCTGGATCCTGTCTTTGGATCGGCGTGGCACCGGCCGTTGTGCTTACTTGGGGAGTGAATCATCGGATGGAAGATCTTCTTCTCTATCTCTCCTTCTCTCTGTAAATCTAACTTTCCAATAAAAATGAAAAAAAAAAAAAAAGATACAGCCAATTGTTGCCATTTGCTGTAGTTGCCACTCATATGTAATGTGTGAACACTGTGAGTATGGATTAGTAAACACTGAGCCATTGATCCACAGGAAATGGGGGGTCATGCTCTTGGCAAACTTTTAGTCACATTTTCGTTGATCCATACCCAGCCTTATTTCATGTGTCTGTCTGTTTATAAAGCACAGTTTTTAAAATACATTGTTGATTGATTAAAATTGACAGTCATTGTCACTTCAGAGATAGTAGTGCATACTGACATTTTTTTATAAGGGTTTAGTTATTTATTTGAAAGTCAGAATGAGAGAAAGAGAGAGTAACCTTCCATCTGCTGGTTCACCCCCAAATGCTTATAGCAAATAGGCCTAGGTTGGGCGCAAGACAGGAGCCAGGAACTTCAGGTCTCCCACAAGGGTAGCACGAACCCAAGTACTTGGGTTGTAGCTGGGATTCGAACCAGGATGCAGGCATCCCTAGTGATGGCTTAATGTGCCATACCACAGTGCCCTCTCTCTTTGAAACTGGTAAACATCTAGGATCCCTTTTTCCCTGCGTGGTTCTGCTTGTGCTGAGCTATTTTTCTTTCAGGGCTTAGGGTTTGCCTCTGAGTTGGGTGGCCCCTGGTGTTTGGGTTTTGTTGCAGAGGTGCTCAGCACAGTGGACTTTGTTGCGCCTGACGACCGTGTGGTGTTTCGCACCTGTGAAAGAGAACAGAGCAAGGTGGTTTTCCAGATGGTAAGAGACCCTGTTGTTAAGTGCCATGCTAAGGCTCACCCCCTGCCCTGGCTGGCCATTGTGGCATGCTTGGGTCGCTGTGCACACAGTGGCTTCCAGAAGACTTGGCTGGAATGATTCCTGTAGGCTCGTTCTTGAATGATTGTGCTGTTGCAGACAGTTTGTGTTCGTGAGTACTTGTTCTGTTGCAGAAAGTTGATGAAGCTCCAACTGTCATGTGCCGTGTATCCAGTCTTGAGTTTAATTCGCTTGATTGAAGAATTCATTTTATTTTTACTTGAAAGGGAGAGTTACAGAGAGGAGAGACAGGAGGATCTTTGGTCTACTGGTTCAGTTTGAAATGGCTGTTATGGTCAATGCTGAGCTGATCAGGATCTAGAAGCTTCCTCTGGGTCTCCCATGTAGGTTCAAGAGTCCCAGACCAAAATCAGCTACATCTGGAAGTGGAGTGGCTATGACTAGCACCAGTGCCTATGTGGGGTGGAGGAATAACGTACTATGCCACAGAAACATCCCATGGCTTTTACGTAGTCTCTGTGAATTTCCCATAGGAAAAAAATTAGGTTCTTCAAGAGAAGCTTTATGTTGGGATTATGCCACTGGTAGCTAGCTATTTTTTCCTCACTTTGAACATTCCTTGGTGCTTTTAAATTTTACTTATTTTAGATAGTTTATTTTTATTTTTATTTGAAGGAGAGAGGCAGAGAGAGATCATCTATCCACTGGTTATTTCCTCAAATGCCCACAGTAGTCAGGCCAGAGCCCGCTGCTAGTTGCCCAGGCTGGTTCTCCTGTGTGAATGGCAGGCATCTGAGTGCTTCAGCAGAATCTGCCGTCTCCTGGAATGTGCATTAACAGGAAGTGACCTGGAAGCAGGGACTGGCCTTGAACCCCACAGTGGGGATGGGATGTAGGCATCCTAAGTGACAGCTTAACTTGGTGGGCCACAATGCTTTTTCAGAAAAAGTTCCTGAATGATTTAGATTTTCTTTTAAACTGATAATAATTGGTAAACATGTGATAGAGCAAATATAGTAAAATTTTAGCATGGAACCTAAGTGGTCAGGGTCTGAATGTTCCCTGTAGAGTTTGGTTTTTTGGTGTGTTGTGAAGTCCCCTCCGCGTGTGTGATGCTGTGCAGGTTCCCAGGTTTGTGAGCTGCTCTAGCGGCCGTTTTGGAGAAAGCCAGCTCGTGTGCGGCTGTGGCATGCTCATGGGCATGTGTGTTAGTGTGCACCTGTGTTGCTGCTGGGCTGATGCAGCCTTCTGTGTTCCCAGGGGACTTCAGACGCAGAGCGAGCCCTCGCCGTGGCCAGGCTTGTGTAAGTTCCTCCCTCCTGTCTTCTGAGCTCTGAGGCCTGGTGCCCACTGGTGATTTTGGAAGTGGCTCATCCTCCTGCCTGCCTGTTCCCTTCTGTTGCCAGATTAAAAATGTCTGACTTCCTCTGTGCATCAAAGGTCTGATGTGGAGTTGATGTGTGCCCAGGCTGCCCTGACTCTGCTCCCTCTATGCAGGCCCCTATTCTTTAGTGTTTGTTCTGGAGACTTCGTTTTTCATGGATTATGAGCAGATTATGAGGCCTGAGGCTTGACCATAATGAGGGCAAGAAAGTAATATGCTTGAAGAGATGGACTGTGGAGTGGAGGCTGACCTGGGCTAGAATTCAGCCTTTGCTATTTACACTTCCTGATGCAATATTGCTGAAAACTGAGTTCCCCTATCTGTGGTGTGAGCCCACCAGTGCTGCTGACTTCTGGCGTGAAAAGGAAGGACCCATGACGTGCGTGCATATGTCTCGGCAGTGTGGCACACACCGTGAATGACAGTGATAGGGGACTCGGGGAGTGATTGCTGCTGAGCATAGACTGTGACCCATGTGCTCCACTCTGTCTCCAGGGCTGAGGTGGGAATCCCTCAGACAGAGGTGCCCTGCAGTCTCTGCCACAGCCGTGCTGGGTGTTGGGCTCTTGTGCCCACACCTCTTTTTTTTTTTGCTTTAACAAACAGCTTTCATGGCCCCAGGCAGAACTGTAACTCTGCGGCCCATTTCTGCATGCCCTTCGCTTACTGTTTATCTGTCATAGCTCCGGAGTATCTCTAGCTTTTGACCCCTCTCTCCAGCTTTTATATGTGTGTGTGCATGCTGTTTCTTTTCTCTGGCTCTTCCCGAGGAAGTTATCACACATTTTAGAGAAAGATTTCTCTTTCATTTTTCAGCTTCCATCATTAGGCTTACTGTGATTCATATGGTTGGAGGGTGGTAAGAGATTCCTGAGCTCAAATCCATCCATGCCTTCAAATCAACCTCCTTTCTTCCTATTGAATATGGATTAGCTTTAAATTTTTTTCTTCCAGAGAAAATGATGTAGCTGGTATTGATGTCAACATGGGCTGTCCAAAAGAATATTCCACCAAGGTAAACTGATTTCTATTTGAAAAATTTTACACAGATGGACCTGGTGTGGTAACCTAGTGACTAAAGTCCTCGCCTTGCACAACTGGGTTCCCACATGGGCACCAGTTCATATCCCAGCAGCTCTGTTTCCCATCCAGCTCCCTGCTTGCAGCCTGGGAAAGCAGTTGAGGATGGCCCAAAGTCTTGGGATCCTGCACCCGTGTGGAAGACCCAGAAGAGGCTCTGGGCTCCTGGCTTCCGATCAGCTTAGCTCTGGGTCCATTGTGGCCACTTAGGGAGTGAATCAGCAGATGGAAGATCTTCCTCTCTGACTCTCCTCCTCACTGTATATTTGACTTTCTAATAAAAATTAATAAATCTTATGCAAGACTGTTTTAGCAAGTCTACCATGGTCCACTTTAATTTGAATTATTTATCTGATAATATCCTTTTGAGTATTTTTCCATCCAACCCAGGATCTAAACCCATCAGGTAACATATGGATTATCGTTTCTTTGTAGCTTCCTTTCATCTGTAGTCCATGTGTGAGGAGCACAGGGAATTCAGTTGGAATGGGTGTTTGGAGCAGTAGCTAAGATACTGCTTCAAATGCTTGCATCCAATATTGGAGTATGTGAGTTCATGTTCCAGTTACAATTCCAGCTTTAAACTCATGTATAACCTCAGAGGTAGGAAGCAATGGTTCAAGAACTTGATGTTTGGAAAGTCATGCTAGGCTTAATAGTAACATTGGTTTCTTTCAGGGAAGGAAGCTCGAGGTTCTACTTGGTTTGAAGTAACTAGTAAGTTCCCTTGTTAGGGGATCCACTCAAAATAACTCACCCCTGGCCAGCACTGGCACTTGCAGTTGGGGCAGATGCCAGTCTGCATGCCGTGCTGGTGCCCATATGGGATCCTGGTGCGTGCAAGGCGAGGACTTCAGTCACTAGGCAACTGTACCAGGCCAAATAAATTTTCTAAAAAAAGGAACAATAACTTAAAAGTAGTGTGGTTACTGTTGTGATTTACATGGCTGCATGGCTTGACAGTTTTTGTACACTGGAGCTTTTGATAGAATTTGTTGTGGGCCTGGGTCCTCAGGACTGGGTCATTGTTCACAGAGGAGAAAGGGCTGCTCAAGGTTTGTAGGTGGTGTGCCTGTGAGCTTCACTGGTGTTAGTGGTACCAGATCAAGTGCCTTGTATGCTAAGAAGAAGGTGCTTTTGTTTTTTTTTTTATTTGAGCGGGAGAATGATTCATTGCTTTTTAAGGGTTTGGAGGATGCTGGAATTCAGTTTAAAAATATAAGGAGGCCTGGGTAGGAATTCAGAAAAATGAATTTTGTAGTCCTCAATTTTGTAGACCCATGGATTTGTGCATAGGAGATGAGGGTAACAAGTCTTAAAATTCTTCAAATTGTTTTCTTTTATAACAACTTTTATTCATCTGAAAGAGCTACAGAATGGGAAGGAGGGAGAAGGAGAGAGAGAGAAAGAGAAAGAAATGTCTTCTGTCTGCTGGTTTACTCCCCAAATACCCACAAGAGCTGAGGCTGGGCCAGGCTGAAGCCAGGAGCCGGGGACTCGATTTAGGCCTCCCATGTGACTGGCAGGGATCCAAAGCTTTGAGCCATCACTTGTGCATTCGTAGGAAGCTCAATTTAGAAAAACAGGCTGTTCTCAAGCCCAGCCTCTCTGTTACAGGATGCAGGCATCCCAACCAGTAGCTTATCCACCACACTGAATGTCTTTTCTGGAGTTCCTCAAATTCTGATCTGTGGTTCTGTGGGCACAGATGCTGCCACTGTCCTGCCTGGTTGCCAGTGGCCCTTGGCTGCCAGGCTGACATGCCACCTTGCTGTGTCTTGGCCCTTAGCTGTATGAAGACTTTCTGTGTGCTTCTTCTTAGGGAGGAATGGGAGCTGCGCTGCTGTCAGACCCTGACAAGATTGAGAAGGTGAGTGCTTTTGGGGCAAGAACCAGACTTGCTTGAAATGCCTCCTTCCCCCTACTCCAGGATTCCAGCTTCCTCGTAATGTGACATGCAGTCAGTGTGGGAGCCCAAACGCAGTCTGCAGCAGTCTTGGTGTTCCGTGAAAGCCTAGAGTTTTGTTTTTTTTTTTTTTTTTGATTAAAAATTTATTTATTTTCATTACAAAGATATATAGAGAGGAGGAGAGATAGAGAGGAAGATCTTCCGTCTGATGATTCACTCCCCAAGTGAGCGCAACGGCCGGTGCTATGTCGATCCGAAGCCAGGATCCAGGAACTTCCTCCAGGTCTCCCATGCGGGTGCAGGGTCCCAAAGCATTGGGCCATCTTCGACTGCTTTCCCAGGCCACAAGCAGGGAGCTGGATGGGAAACAAGGCTGCCAGGATTAAAATTGGTGTGCTTATGGAATTCCAGCGCATTTAAGGCAAAGACTTTAGCCGTTAGACTACCGCACCAGGCTCATATGCATGTTATTTTTAAGTGTTTAGCAACAGGCCTGCAGGCACTTGCTTCCCAACATGCACACACGAGTTTTGTTAAGCCTCAAACCCTGGCTTCTGAGGCCCATGCTGTTGGTTTCATTTTCCCCACTGTCTCTCTGGACTGGAGTGAGTGAGGCATCAGGTGCACCGTCCTCCTGGGAAGCTTAGTTCATTTGCTCTGTGGTGGACTGGTCAGGTGGACTAGATCAGACTAGAAGAAGGGGTGTCTCATGGAAGGGAGGTTGAAGGCTTTCACAGCGAAGTCAGATAGGATGTGTGCATGTGATTTATTAAAAAAGGAAAAAGGTTGATTTGAAAGGTTATTTGACAGAGTATCTATCTATCTATCTATCTATCTATCTATCTATCTATCTATCTATCTATCTATCTATCTATTTCTCTATCTATCTGTCTTATCTACCTACTTGCTGGCTTATGCCCTAAATGCTGACAAAAGCCAGGTCTGAACCAGCCCAAAGCTACGAGCCCAGAACTCTATCTGGATCTCTCTGAGGGTGTCTGGGAGCCAAACACTTGGGCCATCCTCCACTGCTTTCCCAGATCATAAGCAGGAACCTGGATTGGAAGTGGAGCAGCGAGGACAGGACCTGGTACCAGTATGGGATCCTGGCACTCCAGGCAGAGGTTTAGCCTAGTACACCACAGCTGAAGAGTATTTATCTTGAAAAAGCTTCTGCCAGACTACTCTGATGTGTCCTGGATTAAGAACCTCAATTTCAGACTTTTAATTTGGTAATCTCTTTCACCCTTACTTCAGGTTCCTTTTGCACCCTGGCTTCCCAGGGCATTCCATTTTGCCATTATGTGGCTACTGGGCCAGGATTTGAACTCAGGTCTTCCTAATTCCTAGGCCCATCCTTTCTCATCCTGCTTGTCTGTAACTATCAGGTGAACCAGTAGTTCTGCTTTCCCAAGGTTTGGCTGCTGGTCAGTGAGTCAAACCTGCCTGTGCTAGCTATCCTGTCATTCTGCTCATGTAAGGGCTTGTCTCTGGGTCTTTCCCCCAGAGACCTTCACACCACAGAGACAAGTGGTACAACTGGGATCTGGAGAGTTGAGTGTCCTGGAGAACCATGTGCCTGACCAGAAAGACACACTGTGTTTGCCCTTACAAGTGATTAGAGCTTTTGATTCCCTAATGTCCTTAATGTGTCCATGAAGTGAGTAGAGATATCAAAGAAATTATTTAGAGCTCCTTGGTTAAAAGACACCAAAGAAATTTCTGCAAGATAAAGAACTAAGTCTGACCAGTTGACTTTGCTTAAATCTCCAAATATAGGGTTCTAAGTGAACACCTGAAAAGGAGTCTTCTAGAAACATTGCTATGATTTTGAGATATGGGAGTGAAGGAAGCATTTTTGTGTGTCCTGAGTAAACAAATGTCCTTTTGAGGCCTGCCAGGATTGACCCCAGGATCTTACTGCCTGGCGTTCCTCCTAGGGGAACACCTGGGAACTATCCTTCCTGCAAGTCCCTGGCTGCTACACCTGGGCCAGGAGGCCTTGTCTTGCTCACAGACTGCCCACTTGGCTCTCCACACAACCTGTGGTCGGGGTTGGGTGTCTTTTGGAGTGACTCCCTCAGCTTTTGTCTGAGAGGCCTGCTGTTGCTGGCACTGGCAGCCTGGCTCTCTGCTGCCCCCACCTGTCAGTGTAGAGTGTAGGCTGGCAGCAGCTGGCTGGGTGTTCTGCTTGCTGGACCAAGATCCAGCTCTTCAGAAGAGAACCTTGGGATCATCTTCCCTTCAGCTTGCCTGGCCTGACATTTTTGATGAGGGAAGGCGATATAGCAGCGCCACAAATGCTCAGTGTCATCTACTCTGCTCTTGATTTCTGGTTCCTGTGTGGTTGCATTTTGCTGTCTCTTCTAGACTTTTGCCACGTGGCATCATCTTTCTTGTTAACTACTCTGACTTGGTGCTTTTTGACTTGTTGACTACGCTGCATTTTCCTTGGCTGGTTTCACTGCTGTAGAGCAGGTGTATGGGCATAGGCCCAGTCCCTTAAAGACCTCCCTGCTCCCTCATTGGGCAGGCCCTCGGGCCACAGACAGTGCAAATCTTCTTCTCCCTCTTTTTTTTTAAAAAAATCAATTAATTATTTATTTTTATTGGAAAGTGAGATATGCAGAAAGGAGGAGAGACAGAGAGCAAGATCTTCTGTCTGATGATTTAGTTCCCAAGTGGCCGCAATGGCCAGAGCTGAGCTGATCTGAAGCCAGGAGCAAGGAACTTCTTCCGGGTCTCCCACATGGGTGCAGGGTCCCAAGGCTTTGGACTGTACTATACTGCTTTCCCAGGCCACAGGCAGGGAGCTGGATGGGAAACAGAGCCGCTGGGATTAGAACTGGCGCCTATGTGGGATCTTTGCACATGTACGATGAGGACTTTAGCCTCTGGCTTATTGTGCTGGACCCAGTGCACATCTTCTTTGCCCAGGAAGAAGTGGTCAACCTCATCCTAATCCAGGAGATGGACTCAGAATCCCATGGAAGGACAGAGTGTGCTAGGAAGAGCCTTTTGAAAATCCTACTTGTGGTGAATGATGAGGACTACTGTGGAAATTATGAGGTGGAATTCAGAAGTTCTGTTTTTTAAGCTTTCCAGGTAATCCTGGTAAAGGGTGACTGTGTTCCACACAGGCATGTGATCAGGTCCATCTGCTATTTCTCATTAAGTATATTTAGTAAATAGCTATGTACCGCCATGTGCCAGATTCGAGACTGCTGGTGGCAGAGCTCTAGTGTAAAAAGGAAGACTGCTGGCAGCATGGAGCTTATGTGTTACCAGACACATATATAGTCCAGTTCTCTGTGTTGTGAGAAGGCACAGATCTGTGATAGGGCTGATGAGTACAAACAGTGTTGTGTCTTGTTTCTAAAGGGATAGGTGCTCTTGTGTTCTCCACTTTTCAGATCCTCAGCACTCTTGTTAAAGGGACACACAGACCTGTGACCTGCAAGATCCGTATCCTGCCATCGGTAAGGTTGCTGTGCAGCTTTGAAGACCTGTTCTGTTTGGTGATGCTGAATTTGGGGCTGGGAGTGGCTGCTGAGGAGCTGCATTAGTTTGGAGGAGAGGTTGGAGCTGTGTCCACTGGGGAGTCAGTAGCTGCCCCTGTATTCCCTTCGTAAACACTGATGTGGTCTTCTGCCTCAGCTGGAAGAAACCCTGAACCTGGTGAAGCGCATAGAGAGGACAGGCATTGCCGCCATCGCGGTCCACGGGAGGTGAGTCGGCGCCTTCGGAGGGGCTGTGGTAGGGCAGTAGGGAGGTGGTCCGCAGCCCTCCACAGCGGCCTTCACCCATCCTTAGGGAAAGCCAGTGTTTTCTTGTGAGCATTTAGCCTGCTTCTGCTAGCTCTCTGACATCCTGTGTCTGTGGAAGGCAGTCAAGCTCTGAAAGGGCTGACATTTCGTTCATTCACTGCTGGTAAGCACTGCACTGAACTTGAGAGGCTGAGAGGAAGCAAAAATGCTCTTACCTTCAGTAAGTGTTACTGATAGACTTTGTGTGATTTGTTCAGACCTATTTTATAGCCAGGAAGTGGTAGAATTAGAATTCTTTGAATCTCACACTCTATTTTTTATTTACTTATTTTTTAAAGATTTATTTTTTTTTTTTTATTGGAAAGTCAGATACACAGAGAGAAAAGACAGAGAGGAAAATCTTCCATCTATTGATTCACTCAAGTGGCCGCAATGGCCAAAGCTGCATAATTCTGAAGTCAGTAGCCCAGAGCCTCTTTCAGGTCTTCCACATGGGTGCAGGGTCCCAAGGCTTTGGACCATCCTTGACTGCTTTCCCAGACCACAAACAGGGAGCTGGATGGGAAGCGGGGCCGCCAGGATTAGAACTAGTTCCCATATGGGATCCCGGTGCTTGTAAGGCAAGGACTTTAGCCGCTAGGCTATCACACTGCGCCTTCTCTTTTTAAAGAATTATTCATTTTTATTGGAAGGACAGATTTACAGAGAGGAGAGACAGAAAGATCTTCCACTTACTGGTTCATTCCAAAAATGGCTGTAAAGGCCAGAGCTGTGCTGATCTGAAGACTGAAGCTGGGAGGCTTTTCCTGGTCTCCCATGTGGGTGCAGGGTCTCAAGGCTTTTTTCCATCTTCTGCTGTCTTCCCAGGCCACAGCAGAGAGCTGAATGAAAAGTGGAGCAGCTGAGAAATGAACTGGCGCCCATATGGGATCTTAGTGCTTGCAGGGGGAAGATTAGCCAATTGAGCCAATGCACTGGGCCCTGAATCTCATTTTTTAAAAAATTTTTATTTAATTTTTTTTTTCCTGAAAGGAAGATATACAGAGAGGAGGAAAGACAGAGAGGAAGATCTTCTGTCCAATGGTTCACTCCCCAAGTGACTACAACATCCGGTGCTAAGCCAATCCAAAGTCAGGGGCCAGGAGCTCTTCTGGGTCTCCCACACAGGTACAGGGTCCCAAGGTTTTGGGCCGTCCTTGACTGTTTTCCCAGGCCACAAGCAGGGAGCTGGATGGGAATCAGGGCCACCGGGATTAGAACCGGCTATCCCAGTGCATGCGAGGCGAGGACGTTAACCACTATGCTATCATACTGGGCCCCCTGAATCTCATTTTTTCCCCACTACATTGAGAAAGTGCTTTCTGTTTGAATAACTGTAGGCATAGTACTTTATATATATATATTTGAAAGGAAGGGAGAGAGAAGGAGAGACAGAGATCCTCCATCTGCTTGTTTACCCTTCAAAATGACTGCAAAACCCAGAGCTGGGTCTATCTGAAGCTGGGAAGCTAGGAATTTGTTTGTGGGTCTCTCATGTGGGTATAAGGACTCAAGGACTTAGGCATCCTCTGTTGCTTTCTCAGGCACAATAGCAGGGAACTAAATCTAAAGTGGAGCAGCTGGGACTTGAACTAGTGCCTAATAGAATGCCAACCCCACAGGTGGTGGTATTCTACTTGCTATGCTAGCTCTGGAACTGACTTTCTTTTTTAATGATACTGCCAATGGGCAGTATCCTGTATAGGCAGCTGTAAAAGTCCTGGTGGCTCCACTTTGAGTCCAGATTCCTGCTAGTGGTCCAAGAAGGCAGCTGAGCAAAGCTCAAGTCCTTGGACTCCTATATTCACATAAGAGATCTAGAGGAAATTTCTGGCTCTTGGCTTTGGACCAGCCCAGATCCTGCTGTTATAGCCATTTTGGGAGTTAGCCAGAGAATGGAAGATCTCTCTGTCTTTCCTCTCTCTAACTCTGCCTTTCAAATAAAAATAAATACATTTTAAAAAACTAAAACAGTATTGCTTGTTTTGACTGCCATTGTGGCATTGCCAGCTATCCCCAAGACTGTATTGAACAATCCTCACATCCATAGCTAACATGCTGTCTGTGGAGCTGGCATGTATCAGGAAGCTACCCTCAGTTTCCCATGCAAATGCTCTCTGCCTCCAGGGTGTCCTTCTGAACCTCAGGTCAGTAGACTTTGGCCATGACCTCTGTTCTCTGAGTGATACTCCCTTGTAGGAAGAACCCAGAATGCTGGTTGTGTATATCATAGCATTTTCAGAGAACTACTAGAACAAATAGAGAAAATCAAAGCTGCTCAAGTTGAAGCCAGCATTGCTGGTAATAGAGCAGGCACTATATGTGACTCCTTCCAATAGTTCATGGAAGAAGAGAATTAAAAATTATCTTATAAAAATCCATTTAAGGGCCTGGCGTGATGGCCTAGTGGCTAAAGTCCTCACCTTGAACACGCCAGGATCCCAGATGGACGCTGGTTCTAATCCCAGCAGCTCCCTGCTTGTGGCCTGGGAAAGCAGTCAAGGATGACCCAAAGCCCTGGGAACCTGCACCAGTGTGGGAGACCCGGAAGTGCTCCTGGCTCTCAGCTTTGGATCAGCGCAGCACCAGCTGTTGTGATCATTTGGGGAGTGAATCATCGGACAGAAGATCTTCCTCTCTGTCTTTCCTCCTCTCTGTATATACAACTTTGCAATAAAAATAAAATAAATCTATGTAAGTTGTGAAAAGGCAGGCACTGCTGGTTCACTAACCAAATGCCTACATTTAGCAGAACTGTGCTGAGCCAAAGTTGGGAACTCCATCCAGGTCTCCCATGTAGCTGGTGGGATCTGTCCTCCACTGCCTCCAAGAGCTGGATGGAGTTTGAGTAACACAGGTGCTCTACTGTGGGACACAGGGATCATGCCTGCTATGCCAAACACCTTGCTGGGGAAGGACAAGGTCATCTTACTGCAAACCAGTTTTGAAATCTGTGCAGGATTTTTTCATAGTATATATTTTCCAGGAACCTTTTGAAGTTCTCTTGTACATGTATGCCCTGTTCTGAGGCAGCATGCTTAAGATGCAGCTACCTCGTCTCAGTTCTTAGCTCTTCTGCTTGTTAGCTCTGTATCCTTGAAGAAATCCCTTAACCACAGTGCCACAGTGTTCGTTTGGAAAATAAGATAATGCCCACTTTATAGGGCTTTTGTGGGTGATTTATTGAGGCTGTGATTAAAGCTTTGGTACAGTGCCTGGCAGATAATACTCTTTTTAGTAGAGGAAGCAATTGCTTTTCTTTTTTTTTAGATTTATTTATTTTTATTGGAAAGGCAGATATGCAGAGAGGAGAGACAGAGAGGAGGATCTTCTGTCCAGTGGTTCACTCCCCAAGTGACCACAATGGCCGGAGCTGAGCCAATCCAAAGTGAGGAGCCAGGAGCTCCTCTGGGTCTCTCATGTGGGTGCAGGGTCCCAAGGCCCTGGACCGTCCTTGACTGCTTTCCAGGCCACAAGCAGGGAGCTGGATGGGAAGAGGGGGCTGCCTGGATTAGAACCGGTGACCATATGGGATCCTGGTGCGTGCAAGGCAAGGACTTTAACCACTACACTATTGCGCCCAACCCAGAAGCAATTACTTTTACCAGCAGTTGGGAATAGTAGGTAGATTTGGGTGACTTTAAGGAAGGGTTTTCTGGCCATCAGAGTTCTTGAGGGTGAGTTAAAACTCTGTTGGAGATGGAGAGAGGTAGACGTGTAGATTGGGTTGAGGCCTTGTGACCATTGATAACTTTGATTACACAGACCTGGTAGTCCACCTCTCCTGCTTGTCTATGCATATCTGAGGTCAGGCCTTACCTCATTGTCCCTAGTGCTTGCTCTCATTGCTTCTTGCAGTTGACCGTGGAAGAAGGTGCCCCAGGTTGTGTCCTGCTTTCTCTTTGGCTTGTGCTGACAGTCATCTGTGGCCTGCCCTGCTGCCGTGGGCTTGGGGCCTACCCCCATGTCAGGTGCCTGTCCCCAGGATCAGCTGCACAATTTGGCCTCACTACAAGCAGCTGTGTGGGAGTGGCTAGTCTGAGCAGTGGCAGCTGCTCCCTGTCCCTCAGGGAGGGCAGGACTGGGACAGTAGGGGTGGCCTTCTTGTGACACTTTCCCTCATCTCTGACAGAGGTAAAAGGGAAGCCAGGGAAAAGAAATATGACCGTGGGCGCCTGGCCATGCACACTGGCCCCTGGGAGCCCTGGCTCACCTGCCGGGTGCTGAGAGCTGGGCTTGCTTGCTCAGCGTGTATCCATTCTGCTCCTCCTGAGGTCAGGGAGCTTGTGTCCTGCAGCTATCCTTGGTGGCCGCGTGGCTGCCTGACCTTCCTGAGTTTTAGTGGGGAGAACAGGAGTAGCCCGGTGTGAGTGACAACATGGGTTTGGTGGTCAACCCTCAACTACATCTTCTCTTCATTGTTAAGGAAGCGGGAGGAGCGACCTCAGCACCCTGTCAGCTGTGAAGTCATCAAAGCTATTGCTGAAACCCTCTCCATTCCTGTCATAGCCAAGTAAGCCTCCTTCCTTCTTCATGTAAGATTTGTTGTGTATGCCTCATTCAGAAAGGACTTGAACTGGCATGTGAAAAACGGAATGAGATAACATTAAAAAAAATGTTCATGAGAATGAGATGAATGACGGAACTGGGAATGAGGTTGCAAAGTGCCTGTCATGTATGTTGGGTCACTTGGCTTCTGGTCAGAGGTTGACATAGTGTATGACCAAAGCACTCCCCCATTCGACAGGGTAAAAATGAATGTGCTCAGGGACACGGAAATAAGGAAGCAGCTACTTAAGCAGGTCCAGGCCTAGATGTTGTCATACCCAGAGGTAGGTGCCTGGAATCTAGGGAACTGTGTAAGGAGTCCCAAGCCAGAGCTTGAGGTATTGTGGCTCGGGAGCTTAAGGCAGGTCACAAAAGCCAGGCAAGTGTGGGCAGCTGCAGGACCAGGAGCCTTGATTGGCAGGTGTCAGGTGCAGTGACCAGCCCAGAGGTTTAATAAGAAAACGGTTCCTAGCCGTTATTGGGAAGCAGGACTGGGTAAGCCAGCTGGGAGTGCAGCTCAGACTACATTTAGTATGGCATAGAGTCTGAGGGTGCCTGGGAGGTTGGCAACAGGGGAAGGACCAACAGAAGGTGTGGGAGACAGGAGCTAAGGATGGAGTCAGACCCTGCCTTCTCCAGGCAAGGAGTTCTTAGGAGTGGCTTATAGAGGGCAGGATCCTGTGGCTTCTGCAGCTGCCTGGGGGTTTTGCGCATGGTTGTATCTGGACTGACTTCAGCTGATTCCTGATGAGACAGATGAGACCTAAGTGGATTCCAAGAAAGTCCTGGGAACAGTAGGATTGAGGGAGGAGAGATTATGACCAAATTGGGCCTCCTTCCCCTCTCTTCTGGTCACCAGCATGTTGGTTTCCTTCTTCAGTGCCTTACAGGGCATATGGGTGACTGTGTAACTTGACAGCAGTGGGGGGGGCTTCTTGTACCCCAGTTTGTAGACTCCTCTGCTTGGATATGCCTGGCTTTAGCCACGGTTTCAGATGAGGGGAAGGAAAGTGAGATTTCTCGATATGTATTAAGTAACAGGCATTATTTATGCTGTTTTATGTGTATTATTATCCAACCTAGTGCCACTAACTTCATAATGGGTTGTGCCTGACACACTCTGCTTTATTGTAGCTCTGATCACTGAAGGGACTTGGCCAAAGCTGTTAAGGTGTGGCAGATCTGGTAGTTGTTTTGTGTTTTTTTTTTTTTTTTTTCTTTTTTCTGACAGTGCTTTTACATTCCTTAATGGGGTCAACTCTAACCCTGCTGTTGCTTTGCAGTGGAGGATCTCATGACCACATCCAACAGTATTTGGACATAGAAGACTTCCGACAAGTCACAGCAGCCTCTTCAGTGATGGTGGCACGAGCGGCCATGTGGAACCCATCTATCTTCCTCAGGGAGGGTCCCCGGCCTCTGGAGGAAGTCATGCAGAAGTACATCCAATATGTACGTCTCTGCTTTGGCATAACCACTATAATCCTCACATCCACCTTGTGCTTGCAGGGAGTGTGCTGGCCTCTAGCTGCTAGCAGCCCATTGTTCCTCTTTGTTTTTTAGCTGCTGCTGTATAACATGAGGTCTCCCAGTATGCAATGTGAGGTTGGGATGCTGTCTTGTGCTTTTCTATAGCCTCCTAAAACTTCCACAAGTCTGGATGTCCTAGCAGGGACCTTCAGGATCTGGGATGCTGATGGGACCCCAAGCACATGACAACTTTTTCCTTATGCTCTGCGCCATGCACAGATGCATGCATACAGACAATGGATTGTCTGTTACCACAGGCACTCATGTCTATAGATTGGCAAAGGAATAGCCCAAGCCAGGAGGCACCATTGTAGCTGTTGTTGGGGACAACAACATGTGTCCACAGAGACTTCTCACCTGATTTAACACGTCGGAGTCACTACTAAAGCTTCCATTGCTAATTCTTAGAATGCTTTAGCCTGTGACTTAGAAAATAAGCTCATTTTAATCCTCTCCTGAGGGCATAGTGTTTTCTAAAGCAGTTTCTTCTCACTGGGAGCTTAATGTCCCTGCAAGGGGCATTTCTCTCTCTCTCTCTTTTTCCTTTATTTTTCCTTTTTCCCCTTTTTTTCTTTTCTTTCTTTTTTGGACAAGAATATTGTGAGGCTTGGTGGAGGAGAGGTAGTGAAAATATTTCCCATCTTCTGATTTACTTCCCAAATGCCTTCATGAGCAGTCACTTGGCCACACCAAAGGCAGGATTGAGGAACTCAGTCAAATTCTCCCTTGTAGCAACTATGTGAATGATCATGTAGAGAAGTCAGTAGAGATGAGGTAGGGTGTATGTTAGAAAGAAGCTGGAATTGGGAGCAAAGCCCTCTTATGTGGGATGCATGCATTTCAACTGGCATATTTTGTTGTTTTTTAAAATGATTCATTTATTTCTTTGAAAGAGTTATAGAGATCTTCTATCTCTGGTTCACTCCCCAGTTGGCTGTATTGCCCCAAGCTGGGCTGTCTGGAGTTAGGAGCCAGGTGCTTCTTCTAGGTCCCCTGTGTGGGTACAGGAATCCAAGGACTTGGGCCATCTTCCACTACTTTCCCAAGCACATCAACAGCCTCAAAAGTGGAGCAGCCAGGAGCAGCTTTACCTGCTATGCCATAGCACTGGTCCCTTCACTGGCATCTTAACCACTACACCAAATGTCAGGCTCTACAAAGGAAGTTTTTGATGGGTTCACCGGTCCTATTTCTTTGGCATTGCCCTGGGGATTTTGTGATCAGCCCTACATATTTATAGATAGTGACAGTGAGTGATCCTTGAATTTTTCAATGAGTTGGCCCTGACAGAGAGTATATTGCTACTTCCCTCTTCAGTCTTGGGATATTTCTTAGCCATGGGCAAGCCATGGTCATGCCTAGGCAGATGTTGTATGACTGTGCAAGCTGCAAATGACAGGAGGTCCTGAGGTCTGACTGCAGGGTCGGCTAACATCCATCCCAGAGTTTGTCCTGTTTAGTGCTGCAGTTTTCACTCCTTGGTTCTGAGTGTCCTGTGTCAGGCAGGTTGGTGCAGTGGTCTCAGTCAGCTGGAGGAAAGGAGGGTTTATCTCAGCCCAGCTCAGCTAACTTTTCTGGCCAAGTGGCATGCATGCCTATGGCTGAGAAGACATGTTTAGTTGTGTTGAGCTGGTTCACTGGGTGGAAGTGATGTTATCTTTCCTGCTCAGCCTGTCCCTTGGCAGCTGCTCTTGAGGTGTGTTGTCATGGAGAAAGGGAGCGGCTTTTGAGAGTGCAGGAAGGTATGTTTCTGGTCTACCCAGGTGTCTTCTGTCCCAAACAAGCCAAATCAAGGCTTTGCTGGCAGCCAGGGCTGACTCACTCCTAGCTTTGTCCTCAGTGTACCATGGTCTCTTCCTAGACACTGAAGGCATTGGCTCTGGTGGAAATTTTACAGTAATATAGTGTGAGGAGGGGCTGGGGGTTTTGGAAGGCTGGGGCAGCCTCTCATTACTGCTGTCCTGCTCTGACACCAGCCAGGTAGGCTTCCCCTGGCTCCCCAAGTAGTCATTTTGCCTCCTAAGTCTGTTTTCCAGGCCGTGGTGTGCTAAGAGCTGTACTTCACACTTGCATGAGTAAATGAGGTGATAATAAACACATGCAGCCACACTTTGGAATGGGGCTGGACTTCACTTATGAAAGGGAAGTTGGAGAGAAGCTTGTGAAGAGGGGGTGCAGGGGAGAGGGAAGTGTTCCACCTTGGTTATAAGGAATCCTATCCTGGGGTTGGATCTGCTATGCCAGAATTTGGTGTGTTCCCCCTCCCCATGCTTGAAGAAGCTCAAGAGCAATTCTTCTGCATAGCCCATGGTGACTGATGCAGGAGGCGACTCACACTGTCCAGGAGAGGATGCTCCTGTACAAGCTTGGCTGGGACCCTCTAGCTTTCCGCCACTGCTGAAAGAGTTGATGGCCAGGTAGATGCAGTCCATCATATGGATTCACATTGCTTCAGCTGCACACACAGTAGTGATGTCCTCTTGGGGCCCTTTCCTTGCCACTGGAGTGTCACTCAAGCCTCAGAATTTGCTGGGTAACAGGTGGGCTCATGCTAGTTCTTGTCTCAGGCGATCCAGTATGACAACCACTATACCAACACCAAGTACTGCTTGTGCCAGATGCTACGTGAACAGCTGGAGTCACCCCAGGGAAGATTGCTCCATGCTGCCCAATCTTCCCAGGAAATTTGGTAAGGGGGCAGTGGCCTGTGTTTCTGTCATTGTAGACATTACTTGTGCTTGATTTTGATCTCTGGCCTAACTGTTAAGGGGCAAGAGACACATTCTGGAAATGAATGTGTAGGCGTGGGGTGGTGGCACAGTTTTGCAACTCCAAGGAGATATTTAGGAATATTCTTTTTCTTTTCTTTTTTTTAAAGATTTATTTATTTTTATTGCAAAGTTAGATATACAGAGAGGAGGAGAGATGGAGAGAAAGATCTGTCTGATGATTCGCTCCCCAAGCAGATATGCCAGTATTGTGCCTAACTGAAGCCAGGAGCTCTTCCGGGTCTCCCAAGTGGGTGCAGGGACCTAAAGCTTTGGGCTGTCCTTGACTGCTTTCCCAGGCCACAGGCAGGGAGTTGGATGGGAAGTGGAGCTGCTGGGATTAGAATTGGTGCCCATAAGGGATTCTGGCGCATGCAAGGCAAGGACTTTAGCCACTATACTATTGCGCTGGGCCCTCTTTCTTTTTTAAAAAAAATTATTTTTATTGGAAAGTGAGATACACAGAGAGGAGGAGAGACAGAGATGAAGATCTTCTGTCCATTGATTCACTCCCCAAGCAGCTGCATTGGCCAGAGCTGAGCCGATCTGAAGCTAGGAGCTTCTTCCAGGTCTCCCATGTGTGTGCAGTATCCCAAGGTTCTGGGCCATTCTCACTGCTTTCCCAAATCACAAGCAGGGAGCTGGATGGGAAGCAGGGCTGCTGGGATTAGAACCGGTGCCCATATGGGATCCCGGCGTATTCAAGGCAAGAACTTTAGCTGCTAGGCTACTGTGCTGGGCCTGATACTTAGGAATAATCTGTCCCTGGACTGATCTCTACAACAGTTTTGGGAACTAGAGCACAAGGACAGAGGAATGCAGAGGTTGGGCTTCAGAATTCCGGGGAGGAAGGAGCTTTTTCATTAATATGACTGTCATGTGCCATGCCTTCAGGACTCAATGGTTAGGAGAGTTAGGGGTGTGGAGTCTGTGCACTGAACCAATATCCATACCGCATCACTACAGATTAAGTGTCCGCCTCTGGGTCCTCAAGACTTGTGATGTAGCACTCTTGTAGCTCCTTGGCTACCCATCTATTTCCATACTTCCGCTCCTATGCTTAGACTGGGCCCCCTGCCTCCTGGCCTCTCCTTTTATATTGGTTCTCTGTAACCTCCTCCCTCCTCTAAGGAAGCATTTCTGAACAAGTCTTGCCCTCAGGGATCTATTTCTTGGGAATGCTGCAGCCCTCAACATGTTTCCTGGAAGCAAAGAGCCTTGACTGCCAGAACCTTTCTGCACCCTCAGCTTGTGGCATTTTTTCTGTCTTCGTTCCACATGGCTTAGCTACCTTGACCCAGGTGTCTTGGAAGACTAAAAGAATATAACTCTTGATTTAGGCAAGGCCCGTGATAATTGCTCGTGGCAGGCAGGAGGTAGAGAACAGTCAGCAATCAGGCTTCCATTTCTCCTTTCCGTGGATCCACAGAAGGAATAGATTATATACACCCAAGGTGCTTTGTCTGCATGAGTCAGCTCAGTCCTGGATGATTGGGGAAAACCCAATGTGTGTTCCTCGTTGGGATGAAGGGTGAAAAGTGACACTAAGTACCCCCTCAACCCAGCCTCCTTCTATTGTCCATGCTCTGGTGGTTTGTCTTTGCAGTTTCCAGGTTGAACTCAGAGATATGCAGGAGGCATCTCCTGATGCCCAGACTCCAGTGGTATTTTGGTGTATGCAGTGGGGCCCTCTGCGATTTTGCAACACCTTGGATGCTTACCCTGTTCTGTTTTTTTCCTGCATAGTGAGGCCTTTGGCCTTGGTGCCTTCTACAAAGAGATGACGCAGAAGCTAGACGCCCGGCGTGCTGAGCTCTTGGCCAGAACTCCGGAGAAGCCAGAGGAGTCAGCTGAAGACACCTCTGGTATCATTAAGATGGCTGTCAAGTTTGACCGGTAGGTCTCAGCTTGGTCCATGGCTGGCATGCTCAGCGTCTGACTGGGCTAGCAAGCCAGTTGCAGTGTGTGACTACTACCAAGCTCGGAGACCAGAGATCTCCTTGGTTCATACAGTTGATCTCAATTCTCAATATCCCACAGTTCCTTTCAGGACAGACAGCTCCTGAAAGTGCAGGCAACCCTGCTAGAAATGTGCATGTTTTCTCAATGAACCTTACTTTTTCTCTGATTTCTCCCCTCCTACAACTTAGGGCAGGAAGGGGGCCTTTCTCCTGTAGACTTGGAGCTGGCTGCTTGATGGGGCTTTCCCACAACAGATGATTGTTCCCACAATCCCTGCCCCTGCCCCCTGCTCCCGGCTGATCATCAATCCTGTGATGCCCTCCCTACACAGAAGTTGCCTTAGCCTCATTTCTGCCTCTGACTCAGCTTTGACTAGTGCCCTCATTGTCTTCTGCCATTCAGTGCCCAGGGCCAGACCAGAAGCCACTCTTGTCTAGCCAGGATTTTGAATTCAGAAGACAGCTATTGGGCACTCAGATGCTAGGGAGAGCTTTCTCTGGGAAGTTGGAAGATGACTGTTTTAGCCTGTCACCCTCTGTTACCAACTGGCTCTGAAACTCTAGTGTGTTCTGGCAGCAGCAAATCATCCTGACACCCAGCAGATATAATCAGGGTGGTCACTGTATGACCACCTATGTTCCCCACCTCCACCCTCGCTCTCCTGATTCTGTCTTGAGAGGCAAACTGGACTCTCCTTCTTGGCTATTGAAGACCTAGCATACTGGAGTTCACTGACCCCTGCTATCTCCCCCTCGCTAATTCTCCAAGCATGCCAAAACTCATCTTCAGAGGCTGCTAGCATGAGAGGAATGGGAGCCAGAGGAGCATGTACAGTAGCCTTAAGGTAGCAGCTTTGTGTCTCAGTTCTACCGTTCTTGCAGCACCCATCAGGAACTAAGTACAGTCCTCACAGGGGAGCGAGTACTGATAGTAGGTAGGCTCTGACTGTTTCCCCTCCTTTCCCAGGAGAGCATACACACCCCAGATCACCCCCAAGATGTGCCTGCTGGAGTGGTGTCGAAGGGAGAAACTGGCACAGCCCACATATGAAACAGTGAGTCTTGATTGGCCTACCCTGCAGTCAGCCACAGTGGTTCTGTGGCTGGTGCCATCAACTTGGCACCCCCACCGCCAGGAGACAGTCATCTCTGAACTGTTTGGGTGGAACCTAGCCTTGCCTCTGCAGGCATGCAGAGGTTCCTGGGGGCACTGGGTCAGTTGCTGAGAACTTCTGACCATGGTTTTTGTTGTCAGTTCTGGAAGATGTGTCTGGATCGGGCACAGCATTGGACTCAAGACATGGGAGCTCCTGGCTGGAGACCTTGACGTCATCTTGCTTCCCTATCTTTGGTCCCCATGGCCAGCCTCATTTGGGCTGTTCTGCCTGTTTTGGACTTCTGACCTCCAGGCTTGCACCTTTTGGGCTTTGTGTCCCACTTTGCCAAAGAGTAACTGATACTTAAGTATCAGTTCCCTAGAGCCTGTGGGATGAAGCCTTGGTGTGTCAGCATAAAGCACAGCAACACCCCCAACCTGAGGCCTTCCTACTGTGGGTCCTTCCACTCAGCCCCCTGCTCTGTCCCACAGCTAGGTGTGGCTTCTTTTTTCCCTGTCCCCTCTTACCTCTTTGTTACCTGATAATGTCTTCAATTTGGGGGTCCTAGCCCATGCAGATATCAGCAGGAAAAAGCCCCATAGTCATGTGTGCTAAGGGCTGATGTGGCCCTTTGCCTAGTCCCATGAGAGAACTCAGGACACACTTGATATCATTTTCTGTTGGTGTATTTGGCAGTTTTGCTTGACAGGGCATGTGCTAATAGGCAGTTTTCATTTGCCTTAGATGAGAGATTCTTTATCTCTCTTTGGTGTGACCCTGGCAGGTAGACCTTCAGGTTTTGCAGCCTGCTCTTTTTCCTTTGCTTTTTTGCACCAGGTTCAACGACCAGTAGATCGCCTGTTCTGCTCTGTTGTTACTGTTGCAGAGCAAAAGTACCAGTCTACCTTATGGTGAGTTTCCTTATCAGAGGGCATGAGGCTTAGGGTGGAGTTCTTGAATCTAGCACAGGCCTGGCAGGATTGGGTGGATGGTGTGTGTGGGCAGTGGTGTTCCCTAGATGATGACCTCCTCCTCAGCTTTGGCAGGAGCTCTGTCAAGTGTGTACAGAATCAGGCTCCCAGCCTCTGATTCTGTTTGCCCACCTGCCTTACTGCTCTCTGCCTCATCTTCCTAGGGACAAGTCCAAGAAACTGGCAGAGCAAGCTGCAGCCATCGTGTGTCTGAGGAGCCTGGGGCTCCCTGAAGGTCAGCTGGGTGAGGAGAGCCCTTCATTCAAGCGCAAGCGAGAAGTCCCTGACCAAGACCCTGGGGGCTGTATAGTTCAGGAGCCAGCATTGCCTGGGGAGATGTGCAAGAAGCCCTTTGTGGTCGTGGAGAGTCATGAAGAGAGCCCCCTGGAAAGCCGGTGACTACTGTCCCTGCCAGGTCAGCCTGGTCGGCCCTTCCCTGGCGCTGGCTCTAAGGCAGTTTTGGGTGCTGCAATGTAAGCTGGATACCATTGGACAGTTTGCTGGCCAGCTTTGCAGAAGGGAGAGGTGCTGGCCTGGGCCATCAGCCTGCAGAGTGGACCAAGGAGGACCCAGGAGCGGGTTCCTTTCTCCCTTGGTGTGGGTCTCAGGGGTGGGGCCAAGTTCCCGGTGACCTCATTGTTTTCTTTAAAAACAGACTTTTCAGGTGGCACTTCCCAGCCTGACACTGGTGCAGTGCAATAAAGACAACACCTACGCTCACCCATGGCTGACTGCCTCAGCCAGGGGCATCTTCACATGTGGACTTGTGGACATTCTGCTCCCTGACTCTGCCGAGCTGAGGCTTCCCAGAGGATCCTCCTGCCCTTCCTTAGGAATCTGGTAGAGGTGGGGAATGAAGATTCTCTCAAAGGCTCACTGGATTTGGGCTAAACCTGGAAGGCTCCAAAAACCCCATTCTACTAATGAGAAACTTGAGCAACTGGGTATTCATTGACCTTCCTAATGAGAAATTGCATGGAATCTGATGGAAGGACTAGGCTAGGTGGCGTCCCCTGTAAGGTGAGGTTGTGGGCCTGATTCCCGGAGTCTCCTTCAGACCTGACATTACTGCAAACACATGGGGTGTCTCTCTGGGCAGGGGGCACTGCAGGCTGCCACCAACAACTTGGCTTTTGTGATTGTGGAGTCACGCCACTGCCCTCCCCCTGCTTCCCCCAGCCGCTGAAGGAGGAAGGAAGTGGCAGATTCTCTTTAATTTCCTCCCAGCAGTGAGAAGTGAGAAGCAAACAAACGGCCACCACATCTCACCACATCTCTGGGGCCTTCCCCGCTTACTGGGAGGGGCATTCTGACCAAAGGTCCCTGCCCTGCCCCATCCCTCCCCCTTCTCCCCCCTCATTTCCTCAGCTGTAAACAGCCTGCCCCTCCTCCCCTTTGCCAGGCCCAGGTGCGGGGAATCCCCTCTGGGCCAAAGCCACATTTCCTGTGACTCCCCCCTTTCAGCTTCATGGCCCTTCCTCAAGCCCTGGTGCCACCAATAGCCTACAGCTAGCCTCTTTGTGAGCCAAAGATCTGGTGGCTGAGGCCTCTGCTGGCCTGGCATTACCCCTCCCTGTCACCCACACTGGCTCTGCTTTGTGCAGATATGGTTGCCTCCCAGGGCCCCATCACTGTCTGACCTTGGGCAGCTCACTTCTAGTCCTCTCTGGCCTCGGTCCTCTGAGTGCTATCAGCTGTTTTTTGCTTTCTGAGGCTGGCTGGAGGATCAAGACTGGCCTATGATGGTGGCCCTGGGAGGCTAATAGGATCACTCATGACGAGGCTGCCCTGACCTCCCAGATCAGTTCCCCAAATGAAGGGATGCTTCATTCACAGACACTTTTTCTAGAAGGTGTCTCAGTCAAAATGTGTGCTTTGCCTTGTCTTCTACGTCAAATGGAACTGGGCAGACAGATCATTGCCAGTGGGCTCAGAGTCCTGAGACCACCTCCCCAGAGGGGCTGGGCTTTGATCGTGGATCTCTTCTCTCTCTAATGTTGTCTTCTTGGGAAAGGCCATCCTCTGGCAGGGTCATGTGCACTTCTGGGCTTTGGGAGAGCAAAAAGCAGAGGCAGTGGTCTGCTAAGAAGGAAGCTGGAGTGTGGGGGCGCTCCTGCCTGGGAAGCAGTGGACAGAGGTTTAGTCATTGTGGAGTTGAGTGATCTGTTGAAGACCTGGGCCCGATGGTTAAGACAGGCCTCTTAATCCACCGAACCCCTCTCTGGGCTGGTAGCCACACACTTGTCCATTCTAGCCACCTGGATAAGGACTTCCCTTTGTTTCCTCACATTGGGGTGAGCAGGAGAGGGAAGGATGAATAAGGCAAGACAGGTGGCAGGTCTCCACAGTCTGTGCATTCCTCTGGACTGCCAGCAAGTTGGCAGTCTTGTGCCCGCAGGCCTGCTGAGGTCCTTTCAGGTGTCACTTGTGCTCAGAACTCTTTGATGACTGAGATGAGGCTGCCCTCTGGATCAAGTCCAAACTCCTCAGCCCAGCATTTGAGGACAAAGTGCTGATCCTATCTTTTCAGCAGCCTGTGCTGACTTCAGCAGCTATCTGAGTTTGTAGTTGGCTGGTCTTGCCTTCTTTGCCCCAGATTGGTAACTGCTCAAGGGCAGTCCCTCTGTCCCCTGTGACCAGCCTTGGCACAGAAGTAGGGAGTAGGCATAGAAGAGTCAAGAGCTGGGGTGGCGGTTTTGTGGCATGGAAAAGCCCAGGAGACTGGACTGTGCTAAGCTGTACCATCCCATGGGTCTGATGACACAGGATAACCTTCCACGGTGGCAGCTGGTGTTGTTATTCACGCAGGAGGGAGGCTGTATACTCACATAGTGCATTTTCACCGAGTTTGGTTTGCTGCACTGGAGCCCCAGGTCTTTGGTTTCACAGTGCTGTCAGAGGGTTAGAGGTAGATCAAGTGACCTGCAGGGGGTTTGCAGTTGGCCTGGGATCACTTCATGGGATAGGTTCCAGCCCTAGCTGGGTGGTGGTATGGTGACAGAGAATGTGTACATGGTCCGGCTCCTTCACTGAGTGAAGAGATCACAGACCATTGCTGCTTTTCTTGGAAAGACAGTGCCTCTGTCTGCAGTCAGTGTCCTCATTACCCCTTACTAGATTTGTAAACAGCCTCCCGACAAGGTGATCCCATCTCAGTGGTTTTAAACATATGTACACTTGAGCACTGGATGAATGGGAACATTTTAAAGGTGACTACAGCTGCTCTGTGCTCCCTTCCCATGCATGGGGCTGACAGGCCTCCTGCCTGTGTGCGCCCCTAGTTCAGGTGAAGACACACTGTAGGGCAAAAAGGCTGGGTGGAAGCCGACCTTCCCAATCCAGATGCCAATCTGGCAGGTACGTGTAGGGGAAACTTGGGAGAGGAACACATCATGAGGTTGCCTCCTATTTTATGGGGGAGAGGGAGGGGAACTGGCCTTCTTTCTGGGACCTGATGCTTTACAAGGATTACATACTCGATGGGCCAGCAACATGTCTGGAGCAGATTGTACTCTTAGGCCCTGGGGTTGGGGACCCTCTGAAGGCAGCACAGCTTATACCATGTGTTCCCTGTCCTCGACCAGTTTCGTTCTCACCCACCTCTGACCTCATTGCTACCTTCTCCCCAGTCAAATACAGTGTTCCACCCAGAACTCTTACTATTTAACATTTAAGCACCCTGCCCTAAACCCTTCTAGAGTGGCTCTCCAGTGCCCTCAGGATAAAGTCCAGATTGGCAGTGCTCGGCCTATTCCAAGCAGCCTCACCTTTGGCTTTTGCCCACTGTTCTCTGGCCTCCAAACCTTTGAAATTTGCTTTCTGCCCTTCCCACCTTCCGCCCCTCTCTCCAGTTCCTGCTTACTTTTGTCAGGGCCTTCTCTGAGCTGCTAGCAAAGCCCTGATCTTGCACAGACTAGATTTGCTCTTCCCTTCTCTCCTGGGTCGGTGCATCCTCTGGTCCAGCACAAGCCAAGTGCACAGTAGTGAGCAGGAATGAGCCAATCCATTTAAATGTCTCATGTACTTCGAACATCCCTGTAAAGTCCAGAGGCCCATCTCCCAAAGATTCCTTGGTAACTCCATTGTCAGTCCCGAGGGCCATCTGGGAGGAAGTAGGCTTACACAGGAGGGAGGGACCACATCCCACTGTGCCACATAACACCTGGTTGGGGTGGCAAGATCTCGCTTTGACGTTCGTGCCTCAGGGTGGGGAGGTCAGAGCTTGGGAGTGGTGTGAGCCCACAAACGGCAATCCCCCCCGCCCGGTCTGCTCACCTTGCGGCAGTCACCGGACCTAGACTGCGCACGCTGTTTGGGGAACAGCTGCCCGGGCCAGCTAGTAGGAACAAAAGCTCAGCCAGAGACGCGGGCCCCACCCCACGGGATTGGTTTGTAGCTGAGGCGAACCCAGCTTTTTCAGCTGGGATCCAACATGGATAAAAAACTTTATTTTGGTCCCTTTCCTCTCTAGACTCCGCCATTAGGATTGAGGTGAGGGAGATAAGGGTTTGCGTGGTGTCCGGGAAACTCCGTGGGGTTCCTATGCTTCCCCTAAACCCTGTGTTGAGGAGTCTTGCTGTGGCGGGAGCCATCACCGAACTCCTAATCCCAGAACGGCGGTGTCCTTGCCTCGACGTGAGCCCCGCCTAGTAAAGAAAGAGGGCCTTTCCCATTGGCTGATGGTGATTTCCCTGATCCAATTATAGTGGAGACTGGGCTCGACGGGGCCGTCTCGCTGAGGACTCGTGGAGGAACTAAAGGCTAAACTACAACTCCCGGGAGGTAGCCGGGCTCTCCTTGCCCTCTGTCCTACGTGACTTCCTCCTCCTGGGGTAGCAGTCACGCGATAGGTCGGCAAGGGGGCGGGGCCCTAGTGTTGTCCGCCATGCCACTGGCCTATGAGCGGTCCGGCCGGATGGGCACGCGGCGGGGGGCGGGGCCGGGCGCGCGGCGCAGCGCGGGAGCGCGCAGCGGCGGCGACTGTTGGGGGGCGGGGAACTTTGGCTGAGGCGGTGGTGGCGGCTTGGGTACAGGCAGCTTGGCGGCGGCGGCGGCTCTTGGTGCAGCTCGGCGCGCGGCCAGCTCTCTGGTTCGGAACGGGACGTTCGGCTTGGCGGACCCCTACGGGGAAAGTTTGCGGTGGACCCGGGACCTTCTTGCCGGCGCGGCCCGGCATGAAGCTGCGCTAAGGAGCAGCCGCCGCCGCCGCCTGAGGTAGGAGTCGCAGCACCCTGGGCCACGCCGATGACTACTGCAAACTGTGGCTCCAACGACGAGCTCGACTTCAAACTCGTCTTTGGCGAGGACGGGGTGCCGGCGCCGCCGCCCCCGGGCTCGCGGCCTGCAGGTGGGTGACGGGGCCGGGCGGGATCGAGGACCGTCGACCCCTTTGCTCCCTCGCACGAGCTCGCGCCCCCCTTCCTGGTCCCCTTGATTGTCCCGCTACTAGTAAGCCGGTGCGTGTGTGACTGTGGAGAGCGGATTTAAATTGCTGAGGAAGCATGTGGATCGCTGCGACGTGGAACTGGCCGCGAGCTTGGGTGGGAGCGGACTAGTTGGGGAATTGGACTCCGGAACGCCTGTGGCCAGTGGACGTCCGGGGCTGGGAGGCCGAGGGTAGTGGCTGCTGCCCAAGTGGCGTCTGGTTGTCGCTGCTTTGCCAGCGTGGTAGAAAATGGTCTCGTCTATAAAGTGGAAGCTTGCTTGAGTTTTCATTTGTATTTTAGGTTTTTTTTTTCAACTTTGAGACATGCGCATTCTTGGGGATCCTTAAGATTCGTGCACTTGTGTCTTTAAATCCGCTTTGCTTTGGAGAATAATGCTTTCAAGTTAACTTCCACTTGTGCGAGTTTATGGCCTATAATTAATCCAGAACGATATAACGGAACATTTCTAAAAACTGGATTTTGTGTGAGCAGAGGGTTTCAGAGGGATTCTTTAAAAATGGGATACCTGTATCATAATTCTTCTAGAAAGTTCTGAAAGTTTTGTTTGTTTTAAGAAAAAATATCCCCCGAAGATATTTTAAAGGGAATCGTAAATTGGGTAGCTTGGGCATCGTAATTCTTGCAGGTCAGACCAATCAGGAAATAGAAACAGGATGACTGGGGACTTGCCTGTGACCTGGTTTGGAGTTTTGTGGTTCGTTAAGTTCAGTTTTCTTGTAATGCATGTAGACGTACTTCAGGAAGGAGTTGGATAGAGTAATCCTTGTTTCTTCTCTCCCGGTGTTCAGTGAATCCATGCTCATATGGCTGGTTAACATACCCTTGGGTGGAGTTGGGTTGACAAGCAGAGGCATAAGCATATTGGGTGGTGGTGTGGTAGTCTTTTCAGTCTGCGGTTGTCAGATGTCTTTTTCAGCATAGTAAATAATTTATAATTATGTGTTGGCTGCATTTATTTTCACTTCCACTAACACCATTTGAATGGCTATTACCCGGCAGGTCCTATTAAATACTTTGTAGTATTGTGCTAGTGCGAAGAGTACTGAACCTCACCAAGGAGTTTGGGAAACAGAGGGAGGAGGCACTGCCCAAATAACTAGGCTGCCAGGCCGACTGAATCCTGATACTTTTTAAAGCAGAGGAAGAAATGTGAAAAGTGACATTGTGGAGATGGTGGCATGGAATTGTACTTAGGTTAGTGAGACTAAACAGATAAAACAGCTTAATTTTTACTAAGTATTCTTTGAAAATGACAGAGTTGCTGATATCAACAAATTTATTGATCATCACCTTGACAAGAGCACGTTATATACCAAATATGTGATGAATAAAGGTGCTAGCCAAATAAATGTATCACTGGATTAGTAGGAATATATATATATATATATATATATGTATGTATGTATCAGATAACATTTAAAATTTAAGAAAACGGTTTAGAAAAACAATTTTTGCTGTACACAAAAATATTTTGCTTTTGAAATGTGTTTAGGATTTCAGATTTGGAGTTTTCTTCATAACTGAAATTTCCAAAACTAGACGTGAATAGTTTTTTTTTTTTTTTTATTATTTTTTTCATTGGAAAGGCGGATATACAGAGAGGAGAGACAGAGAGGAAGATCTTCCGTCCGATGATTCACTCCCCAAGTGAGCGCAACGGGTCGATACTATGCCGATCCGAAGCCAGGAGCCTCTTCCGGGTCTCCCACGCGGGTGCAGGGTCCCAAAGCTTTGGGCCGTCCTCGACTGCTTTCCCAGGCCACAGGCAGGGAGCTGGAAGGGAAGCGGGGCTGCCGGGATTAGAACCGGCGCCCATATGGGATCCCAGGCGTGCTAGGCGAGGACCTTTAACCACTTGCGCCACCGCGCCGGGCCCGACGTGAATAGTTTTGTTTGTGATAGAGTCCTTTTTAAAGTATTCAAGTAAGTGATTTTTTAGTTTTTTATTAAGGTGGACTATAAATTAAGTAAAATGAAACATCTTAAAGTCAACAATTTAGGGCCTGGTATGCTGTCTCAGTTGGCTAATTCTTTTCCCTGCAAAGCACCTGAATCCCGTATGGGCACTGATTCGTGTCCTGGCTGCTCCATTTCCCATCCAGCTCCCTGCTTGTGGCCTGGGAAGGCAGTCGAGGATGGTCCAGAGTCTTAGGACTCTGCATCTGTTTGGGAGATCCGAAATAATTTCCTGGCTATAGATTAGCTCAACTCAGGTCCAGCCACTACTACCATTTGAGGAGTGAATCAGTAGATGGAAGATTTTTCTCTCTCTCCTCTCTGTAAATCTGCCTTTCCAATAAAAATAAATATTTAAAAAAGTCAAAATTTAGTGCATTCACACAGTGAGCAACCACCACTTTTATCTCGTCCCCACTTTCTTTTTCTAAAAAGAAAAAAAGTCAGCCTAATAGCCGATTTTTAAATTCTTTTGGAAAAATATTTCTGTATTCACAGCTAAATTTTGAGAATTACTTGTTCAGAAAATTAAGTTCCTTTTTACAAACATGAATATAGAATGTAGTTTGAAGAAACCAAATAAATTAAGTGAAATGCTTTTGGGAAGCTGTATATATAGTGAAATGAAATATGCAAATCAGATTGCTTGTTACAGTTCAGATCCGTGTTGGGCTTTAGCACAGTGTGCTGACTTGTTTTTGGATCTTCCTTGCTGGAATGCAAGATCCTTGAGGACAGCGATAGTGTTTCTGGTTGTGTTATCAGTGACTGTACATGATAGATAACCCATATTTGTTGAATTAATAAATAATTACGAATTTTGTATCAGTGTTCATTTTTTTTATGATGAGAAAGTGTCAGCTGCTTCAATTCTTTGATTTTAATTATAGTTCTATAAGATAGTTTCTCTTGGTAAGTTTGAACTGCATTGTTTTTGCATGTCTCAGAAAATTTGTGAATTTACATAAAATATATATACAGGGATATCTGTCTATCTATCTATATAAAGACTGATAGGGAAAGGGAGAAGGAGAGAATCAGAAATAGCCAGGGCTGTACCAGGATGGAGTCAGGATCTTGGAACTGTATCTGTATCTTCCACCTGGGTGACAGGAACTCAGTAAGTGGGCCATATTTCATTTGCTGTCTTCCCAGCTGCATTCGCAGGAAGTTGGCTTGGAAACAGAGTAGCCAGGTATTGAGCATGTAATCTGATATGGATGTAGAAGGCCCAAGCTGCTGCCTGACCGACCCCCTGGGCATACTGCCCATCTGAGGGAGAAGGGTTCTGAAAAACGCTTGGCGTAGAGGCTGGAAAATGAAGACAAACCAAAGGGCTGAATTTAGGAAGTGCCCCTAAGCAATCTTGTTAACATAGATTAGATGATTTGAGGTGTACTTGATAAAAATTGACTGACTTATTGCTTGCTTAGGTGTTTTGAGATTTTTTTTTTATTGGAGAAAACTTAAGACCTTAGAGTCCTTGGTTTTTTTTTTTTTTAAACTGTGTAGTCTGTTATTTTTTCCATTTAGAACTGATTCATACCATTTTGCTAAGTTTTTTTACTTACTGCCTAGCTTCAAATTTATGCTACATCTCAGTAGTAAATAAGGAGTTTAAAATGGGCAAGTGTTTATTCCATTAACATTCTTTGCCATTAAAAAAAGCAGCTTCAGGTACTCTGGTTTAGTGTACTGATTGTGTATCTCAATATTTAGTTTGATATTGCAGTAATCTTTACTTTTGCAAATTCAAAGTTTCATTCTCAGGGTTCATTATTAAATATTTACTTTCAGGTCCTGAATGAGACTGGGAGGAATGTTTGCTATACTGTGTTTATTATGTTATCTTTTGCTTTTCAAAAGGGGAAAATATCTCAGATACAATATGTATTTTTTTTAAAGATTTATTTGTTATTTGTTTTGTTTTTAAAGATTTATTTATTTTTGTTGGAAAGACAGATATACAGAAAAGAGGAGAGACAGAGAGGAAGATCTCTCTGGTGATTCACTCCCCAAGGGGTCACGATGGCTGGAGCTGAGCCAATCCAAAGCCAGGAGCCAGGAGCCTTTTCTGGGCTTCCCAGGCTGGTGCAGGGTCCCAAGGCTTTGGGCTGTCCTTGACAGCTTTCGCAGGCCACAAGCAGGGAGCTCAATGGAAAGCAGGGTTGCTGGGATTAGAACTGGTGCCCACATGGGATCCCGGCACGTTCAAGGCGAGGACTTTAGCCGCTACACTATTGTGCTGGGCCCAAAGATTTGTTTGTTATTTGAAAGGCAGAGTCAAAGAGAGGGAGTGACAGATCAGTTGAACTTTCTCCATTGGTTCACTCCCCAAATGACTACAGTGGTAAAAGCTCGGGCAGTCCAAAGCCAGGAGCCTGGAATTTCTTGCAGACCTGTTCCATGTTGGATGCAGGGGCTCAAAGCCTTGGGTCATCCCCTGCTGTTCTCCCAAACACATTAGCAGGTTGCTGGGGAAGCACATCTGCTTAGTCTTGCACCAGCACCCATATGTAATGCTGGTGTCTCCAGTGCAAGCTCCCAGTGTGTATTTTTACTTTATTACAATATGTGTGGCTTGTTTTTAAGATTTATTTTATTTTTATTGCAAAGTCAGATATACAGAGAGGAGGAGAGACAGAGAGGAAGATCTTCTGTCCACTGATTCACTCCCCAAGTGACGGTAAGGGCAGGTGCTGTGCCAATCTGAAGCCAGGAGCCAGGAACTTCCTCCAGGTCTCCCACATGGGTGCAGGATCCCAAGGCTTTTGGGCTGTCCTTGACTGCTTTCCCAGGCCACAAGCAGGGAACTCGATGGGAAGCAGGGCTGCTGGGATTAGAACTGGTGCCCACGTGGGATCCCGGCGCTTTCAAGGCGAGGACTTTAGCCTGTACCACCACGCTGGGCTTATGTGTGTGACTTTTTTGAATTTTACTCTAA